GATCAACTGCAGCTGTCTGATCAACAGTTCAGCAAGACCTGTGAAGACACTTTTACAGTAATCAATTCTTCTAAATATGAACACATGAATTGGTTTTCAAGCTCCTGCTGAGACATTAGTCCTTCAATTCTGGAGATGTTCTTTCGGTGATGGACGACTTGTGTGATATGAAGGTTCACGTCTGAGTCCATCGCTACACACAGATTTTGAGGCCTGATTGGTGGTAATGTATAAAGGTAATACTGGCACAGAAATACCCTGCCCTTCAGGTAGGAACTAAACCAGTCCTGTGCTGTATCAGAAAGGCAGACCCAATGTTCTAATAAAATCAACAGTGTTGAGGACTGCACTAAGGTTAAATAAACCAGCACTGTGTTCCTTCCAAAGTCTGCATTTACAAAGAAGATACTGAACATCTTAATCAGCGCAAGGCAAGTTTATTTGTAAAGCACAACTTATGGAAAATTCAAGATCATTTACATGAATTAGAAAATAAAATAGAAGAGAAAATAAAATAAAAGTAGAACAGATGCAAAGATAAAAGATAAAACAAATAAAACAGTTACACCACAAAATTTTACTTATAATACTTCAGCTAACAGTTTAACTCAAACAGGTTTTTAAATTTGACCTGAAAGTACTTTTGTGTTAATTTGTTGTTCATTTCTCTCTCTCTCTCTCTCTCTCTCTCTCTCTCTCTCTCTCTCTCTCTCTCTCTCTCTATATATATATATATATATATATATATAAATAGATATATATATATATATATATATATATATATATATATATATATATATATATATATATATATATATATATATATATATATATATATATATATATATATATATATATATATATATAAATCCCTTTTTTAAGGTCTCTTCATTGTGCAGCAAGAGGTTCTAAAAGGGTGTTAAAAATCTATCTCCAAAAACAGATGATAAACAAAAACAAACTAGTCTTATGCCATGATGCAATTTAAAATAAATGTTAAAATTTTTGTTTTCTGTTTTCTGCTTTCTGTTATTAACAGTTTTATTTTATGTTTATTTGAAATAAAAAAAAAGGAGTCAGGGGGATAAATCAACAGTTTGCATTTACTGCCAGGGTCTAAATAGATACGTAATTAAAACGGCAAAAAAGAAGAAATAAAGGCAAACTGCATTTGAAGTCAGACATGGTGTTCATTAGGAAGTCAAACACTTAAGGTCATAGTCCTAAAAGATCAGTACCAGGACATAAATCTGTCTTTCATGTCCTTTCATTCATAATGTCTTTAACCCCTAATGCCTTCTGTCTTTAAACGTGGCAGGACTGTTAAAATGCCTTTAACAAGGTACCTTTGCTTTCAAGTTTGAACACAGTGAGAGAGTCTTTTGAGTTTTCCAAAATTCTTGAGGATTACTGGATGAAAAGTCAAGTGTTCGACCCTAAAATTATTTCGCCTTCAGAAAGACAAGTGTCCAGTGGACTTTCGTCAGACCACAGAGCCTTAACCCGAATTAAGCCTGTTCTAAAGCTTACTGCAAGCTGAAGATGGCTATAATGATGATGTCTCTTGTTCTATTTGCATTTTAAAGCTCGTCTTACAACATGGGTACAATCCAATGAATCCTTGCTGCTGTCTCTAAGCTTTCTGATCCAAACTACTAGTATCTATATCAGCTGTAAAAAAGTAATTGAAAAGCCAAGGATTATTGACTGCCCACCAACATGCTTATAGAAATCACATAAGAATCCACCTGGTGACTCTGCAGCTTGTGGGGAGGAAGGTTGGTTATGGGGTTTTTCATGTATTTATAAAACACCTCTGATGTTCATATATATATATATATATATATATATATATATATATATATATATATATATATATATATATATATATATATATATATATATATATATATATATATATATATATATATATATATATATATATATATATATCAAACAATACAGCACATAACAGCAGGGTGTAAAATGCAGGCAGGAAGTGCATACATGGAACGCCACAACCAGGTAGCTGTCATAGTGTACAGGAACATCTGCCATGATTTTGGCTGGAAGTCCCAAGGTCAAAATGGAAGACACCTCCTAAAGTAGTTGAGAATGACCGAGCTAAGATCCTATGGGACTTCAAGATCCAGACTGACAAACAGGTAATGGCTAACCAACCAGACATCGTGTTGATCGACAAACAGCAGAAGAAGGCAGTAGTGATAGATGTGGCAATCCCAAGCGACAGCAACATCAAGAAGAAAGAACATGAGAAGCTTGAGAAATACCAAGGGCTGAAGGAGGAGCTAGAAAAGATGTGGAAAGTAAGAGCAGCAGTGGTGCCAGTGGTAATTGGAGCACTGGGGGCTGTGACCCCCAAACTAGGAGAGTGGCTACAGCAGATTCCAGGTAAAACATCAGAGGTCTCTGTCCAGAAGAGCGCAGTCCTAGGAACAGCTAAGATACTGCGCAGAACCCTCAAACTCCCAGGCCTCTGGTAGAGGACCCGAGCTTGAGGATGACACATACCACCCCACGAGGGGTGAGAAAACAGTTTTTTATATATATATGTATATATATATATATATATATATATATATATATATATATATATATATATATATATATATATATATATATATATATATATATATATGTTTTGCATCAGTCGCTGTTATCTAACCGCATTTGAATAAAAAAAACAGTCACAGAAATTTTTTATCCTTTCATTTTCCAGGAAGTTGAACTTTAAATAAATAAAAATAGCAGAATGTGGCCTGTAAGAAATGTTAAACAACAGGGCAATGCTTGTGTTAGAGGTTCATTTCCATTGCAAATGCAAAGTTAATAGAAAAATGAAATTCCCTGGAATTTCTTTTGTCTGTTTCTTTTTTTTTTTTTTTTGAAAAAAGGCAACGAGCAAAACAAACCCTAAAAATGGCCTGGCTTAGCCATACATTAGCATTTTTTGCTAAATATTTCAAAAAGGTTAATATCAGTACTAGACAGAAACACAAACATTTATTCTAAAACAGGGAATAAATGGGAGTAAATTAATACTTTTGCTACTATGCAAATGTATGCATGAATTCAATGGAAATTAACAGCCAGATTCCTGAGGCATCGATGGCCATTGCAGAGCATAGATTTTATCAGGAAAGTTCTCGTTCTTTCTACAGTTAATTTTCAGACATGTATAAATCAGTTAATTTAGATTATACCATTTATTTTCTCCATGTTTGAGCCAAACGACTCTAAATCTACCACATGCATATTTTTAGTTTGATTTGACTTGTTAGGGCTAAAATCTTGGTGGGGGTAAACTAATCGGCGTTAATATCAGTTTAGTGCCAGATGAGTAAAGCATGGGCTAATTAAATCGAATAAGGAAAACTTCAACAAATATGGACGAATAACTTAAATAATGGAGGACATTCTAATAAATGATTTGTTTGGAGGAACAAGTGTATTGCATACCTGTGCTCTGACTAGTAACAGTACTAGTAAACTATCTCTGTCTGAATAAATGATTATTAGGGGCAGTCTAGCTCTGGTTTTCAGCCATTTATTATAAAAAAAGGAGAAAATGCAAAAATGACCAAAAACTAGGGGAAAAAAATATGTTTTTTTTTTTTCACAAAAAAGCAACAACAAAAAAAGCCTGCATCAAAGCTTGTGTCAAATAGTCTTAACAGCAGAATAGATTTAACATAATGGGTCTGCTTCTCTCATTAAAAGTAAAGTATATGTTTTTATGATTTCTTGGAATATGTGTCATTTTAATCCTGCTTTGAGTGAAAAAGTTTGTTGTAATTTTCTTGCCATGTTGGTAGTGATTTTAGTCTGTTGGTCCAGTTTTTTCAGGTGCCTTGCAGTCAAAATAAACTTCAGAAGTTAATTTATGTTATATTGTTATATAGAATATTAAACATCTATTGGGAGCTTTTGCCTCCTGAAATGTTTTGCCCCAGCTAAAATGTTTGTCCATGTCTTGTAAAATAACGATTTCCTGGCTGGGGCTAATTTTGCCTGACTTTTACCCACAGTGAAATAGTTCAAATGGTAAATGTTAAGAAACTCCATATTGCTAATAACAGTCATCAGAATGTCTGCTGTCAATATTCAAATGTTTAATAAAAACTCTCCACAGACTCTGTTCCAAAGGAGTCTACAGGCCCATCAAGCAGAGTGACACTCTGATCGCGAATCAGGTGTTGGTACTTTTGGCAGTGTAGAAAGGCACATATCCTGCTAGGAACTGTAATCAACATTCACATAAAAAATGAAGTGCTCCTAGATTCCCTGGTTGACCTACTTTGAAATTGATAAAACTCATATAGCTGCCCAGAAGGCTGTAAAAACTTCACACTGAAACTCAAAGCACCATACTTAGCCTTTCCTCCTTCCCCACCTTTATCCTTAAGATAAAAATGAAAATCATGCAATTCTATTCCTAGTGAAAAAAAAAAAAATCCAAAACCTAAAGAACTGCTAGGTTTTTTATGGTTTTATTGAAACACTGACTCTAGCTGTGCAGGTTTTTCTGCCACTCAATTTTCCTTTTTTTGTTTGAGGATACAACACATTGTACAGCTTTTTCTGTAAAAGCCTATGTGTGATTTAGTTATCTTCTCTATATCCAATTCTGTTCAGATAACCTATTTTTGGGGTTCTCCATCACCCTCAGCCAGTATCATAGAAAAAAAAAATATTAAAATAAAAACTTGAGATGCATCAAGTGTCTGATGAATCTTTTTAAAGACTTTCTCTTTTTATACTGTATTAACTATCCAGTCATATCCTAATTTACTGAGATGCACCTGTGGTCCAATTTGCACCGACTGATCTGTTTCGCGGCGCGTGATCCGTGCGCGTGCCCGCGTTCCGCGCTCAGGGAAAGGCGGCGGAACGCGGACCTCCAAGCAACAAGGAGCTGTCATTGTCATGGTCACACCCCCTTTTTTACTGAGAGCGGAGAAGCGAAAGCTTCATCTGAGTCAGAGTCGCGCTCACCGCACAGACACGTAGGTAGACAGACAGCCGCCCTAACAGCATTTTACTTCAGAAGGTCTGAATGTGACGAGGAGCTGCTGAGCGACAACCAGCCTTGCGGTAAGTGGCTTTTTATTTCTACTTTTTAAAGGAAAGTGAAAAAGTATATGTATCATTCATTATTATATTTCACTTTTACAATAGGAGTCGCGCTGGTTCTCCATTCATGAATGGCAGTCACTTTATAACAAAAAACGTTTTTGTTTCTCTTTAAGGAAGTTACAATTTTTGGACTATATAACAATTACCGTATCATAACATGAGGAAGCAACTAAATTTAACGTGAAAGTCTGTCTTCTTACTAATTACATCCATGGACTCTTTCACAGGATTGATGAGTGAGGATTTTATATGTTTTAGTAGGACGGGGCATGCTTTTTGCAATAATCCTCAGGGCGTTTCATTCACCAGTAAACATCATAATAACTAGAGGATGCAGTGAGGAGCTTATAGGAAAGTTATCTGTTTATTTTTACTGCTTATACAGTATGGCTGCGCTTCTTGGTGGTTGGCCCAGTTAAGGAATGTTGGAATTACAGGCTAAGTTTTTCCTCCACCTACAGCGAACAGTGAGAAGTTGCTCAGCTGCTTCTGTTTGCACCATATTCTGTGACCCAAATGGGGTGCTGCATATTTTTCTCCAGACCTCTTTATGTTTAGCCATGGGTGGGTCTAGATGGGGGCCAGCAGGGGCCAGGGCCCCAGTAGAACAGTAGAAATTCATGAAAAAGAAACAAATTTTTTTGGTACCGCATAACCTTAGAGTCATTAATGCTGATACTGGCACTTACATTTTTTAGTTTATAAATCTAAATATAATTGTTACCTAGGCTTATTAACTTTTTAACTTTACTTTTTAACTTTTCAATTAGCTTTTTTTCTTGACTTGTTAACTTTCTTCTTTCAACTTAGCAGTATCTTTGCTGAATGGCTGGATATAGATCTTGTGCTTGTAGACTTCCCTGGGGGATGGGGGTGACTCCATTTTTAAGGGGTATGCAAGTGATCCAAAACGGTATTTTGCCCTATAAAGGGTTAAGGACAATTTATGCTTCTGACGCATAGCCTCTGCATCTGTCAAATCTGTCTCTGTGCCTCAAAACAATCCTGACTGCGCGTCGGACGGTTGCAAACCTGCGCAGACCTCAAATGGAAGTGCGCAGACAAAAAGCAGCTGGGATTGGTCCTTAGTATGCCTTTCCGGCTGTCTGTGTGGTCGTCCTTCTCAATTGGGTGCCGGGGCACGCCATTTTTAAAAACTGAGGAACAACTACAATGGACAACTACCATGAAAGGTTAATCGAGGAGGTTCAGAAGTACAATCCGTCAAAGTTCTCGAATAGGCTCCCCCTTGCACTTTGGCGGGAAACTGCTGTGCATCCCTAGAAATTGCAGATAGCAATGCAGAAGCATACCAGCAAAGCTGGTTCGCGACCAGACCCAAGCGACATTTAATGTGTGCGGTTGCAGAAGTATGATCTGCCCTTTATGGGCCCCTGTACCAAAGACATAATATAGAATAAATTAATCAGTAATAAATTATGATATACACTAGAATAGAAACAACTGATAATTCACTTGAAAAGTTATTTAAAAATTAGGTTGTCATACCTGGTTCCACCTGGTTAATTTGGTCTAGAACTGCCATCAGGTTTAGGTATTAGTCTTCTGACTTTAGGTATCAATTTTGGGACATTAGGTTTCTGCTTGAATCCCAATATATGATGGGTCACAGGTTTTGTTCTAACACCCACATACAGGCTGAATCTGCTTCTAGAGGAAATATTTGAAATTTGCATGCATCCTTGAGCAGCAGGATATGTCCTTGAGGTTGGCCCTTGGCAAACATCATCTGCACAAAAGTTACACATAGAACACTACCAAGGGTGTGCCTGCCTCATACTGAAGTGGAACCACAACTCCTTTAAGTTTATTTTAGTTTCTTTGTTTTTTCCCTTCAATACACCAGAAGCAGTGATGGAGATATGCAGCTGGAAAGAGAAATTAGTCAGAGTATTGTTCCTATAGCAGTCTTCTTCACTCTTGCACTATTTCTTTTGGAGATAAACGAAGAGTCTTATGGTTCAAAAACTGGAGAAACTGTGTCTACTTATTCCCTCAATATTATATATAACAGAATACATTTTAATGTTATATTGCAATCCTTGGAAAAATTAGATTGACACAACTCAGTACCTCAAAGAAAAGAAAATGGTATTAGTGAGGGAAATCCCTTGGTTGTTTATAGAGATACACTTTTTGTTACTCTTTTATACTCTTATAATTCTAAGTCATTAAAAAAATGGTCAAATCCAAAGCTGCACATTAGTCTTTTAAAAAGGCAAAATGGGTCCATAAAAAAAAGTCTAATCAATGCATCTATTGCCATTTTGGAGAAAATGTCTATATCTTTGCATCTATTTCCCCCTCTTGAATGCATCACATTTCAATTAAAAATGAAACTGGTTCAAATCAGTATGGGTTGGTCAAACCCTAAAGAGAACCTCTAAATAATCTCATCCAGGATATGATTATTGATGCATAAGTATTTTTGAGGAAATATTGACATCCCATTTTTCTAGGTATTTGTAGCTACAGTCCTTTCCTGACAGAACAAGCTAGTTCCTCTGTGGTGAAAGAATTTGAATAGGTATAATAACTATTACCCCCTATTTGAAAAGGAGTTAATATGGTGAGTATCTGGCTTTATACAAAGATGCCATACCACACTGAAAAACACAACAACTGAGGGTGCTTTGCAAACGTATATAAGCCATAAATGTGACAGACTGTTTGCTGCAGACCAAAATAGACAGGACCTTCAGCTGATGAGCTCCACCTTGTGCACAGAAGTCCGCAAATGTGGTGCTGACAGACGGCAGAGGAGTATGTCGTTGTAAGGATGCCTCTGTTATGCTCGCAAGGGCTTTACCAAAACTATGCAGCGGTAGTTAACTCCTGATTATTGTCATAAAAGTGAAAATAGATAGTAAAAGAGCCACAGGTTGGATCCCTGTTGTCAGCATGTTGCTGAGTTTATTAACATTATCTAATGTCTAAAGTTGACGAGTGCTTCTGTTGATGTTCTAAAGGTCTATTTTGAAGCTACTGTAACTTCCTGAACCAAAGCAAATGACAGCTGCTCTCATTTCCAACTAAAGGAAGAGCATTTCCATTTCACAATGCTGCCCAGTGGCTTTAGTGTTTAACAGCTTCAGCACGTATTGAAGTGTCTTTAGGGAATACAAAGAGAGTCTGCAACATTTCAACAACTAAATGTTGTGCTGGTGACAGTTGCTGTGGCTTTTCTGAAATAGCCAGCAGGGTGTCTCAGGGGCGCATATAGATAGCAAATGTGATTCCAGCTGCCACTGAGGCATCCTACTCTTAATGATAGGCTGGCTGATTGGGGGGAGCGTTTCTCCTCAAACGCTTTGAGAAGCGTATCAAGTTGCAGGGTCATTGTTGATCCGAGCCGTTTTTGCTCTTACAAGAGATAAACAGCTGATAGGGATTACACAGCTGTCCTTGTCTACTCTGAGGGAAGTCCTAATGGAGTGTGTGTATGCTGGGAAAAATAAGCTCCCAGTTTGACTGTTTTAGGTAGAGAACATCCCAGGTTTCTTTTCCAGGCACTTCAACTTTTACACCTGCTTTTCTAGTTTCACTCATTCCTACTGTACTGTAAATAATTTATTCCTGTATTTCATTTGGTGTAGTTAAACAGTACAAAAGACCGTGTTATTTAAGTGTATATGTGTATATAGTATGCATCTTTCTTCCAGGTTTTCATATTATTTTCCATATTTTATGCAAAGACTAAGCTGCTTTTGGATATGGGAAAAATGTTGTCGTTACAATGAAAATGTGTCACCAAAGGATCCTCAGAAGTATAGTAAGAAAACCTTTTGAACTTGAGTGAAATTATATCAGGGTTCTTATTGGTTTGTGGAAATGAAGTAGTGAGTAATTAAAGACTCTCCATAGCCTGAAATCTTAGTGATCAGACTGTAGACCACACAGTAAGGGGCACCAAGGCGGCTGCAGCAAGTTATCAGTCGTGCAGTTGGGCTGAAACATTAGCAGCAGGTTTTGAACTATTGTCAAAGCTCCCATAGAGATAGGAAAGAAGTCATATGAGTGACTACCTTTATTGTGGATTTGTATGCTACACTAGATTGCAGTAAATTTACTAGAATTAAATGAAGACTACTTTTTTGTTTCCAGCACTAATACTTGTTAATAATAGGCACTTAGATCTGCAGATTAGCCATAAAACGCTTCTTCAGCATAGAGAACATTGGCTCAGAAAATGACTTTGTTAATTTTTTGATCTACTACATACTGCAAAAAGAGCAGTTTGCTGAATCTTGAGGCTAATATTAGCATGTCTACTTTCTGTTTGATTTAATCATTTAAATCCTAATGTATTTTAAGATAAGTTGTAGTTAATTGTATGTGGTCAAAGCATAAAGTGAAAGGTCCACCGCAGGGAGCCGGCCCCCCATATGCAGAGGCCACAGCTCTTGCTGCAGTTGTCCAGTCCTGGCACCTGGACCATTTGCTGCATGTCTTCTTCTGTCCCCTTTTTTCTGTTCAGCCACTAATGCCACAAAACCCCTTAAAAGAATAAAATTATTACAATATATATATATTTTTTTACCTGCCTTTTAAGTTTTACACTTTGGTTTGAATGTATTAAAATGCAATGGCAAATGTTTTAGGTGTGCTCTGCTAGAGATGTCCCGATCCAGGTTTTTGCACTTCCGATCCGATACCGATATTGTTATTGGACTTCCGATACGATACCGATACTGGCCGATACCAGCCTATCCGAGCATGTATTTAAGTTTAAGTTAAAGTATTTAGCCTTAGTTGTAAGACTCATGTTGAAAAGGATTTTAGTACTCTTGATAACATCTAGCCAGCTGAATTAGGTGAGATTGAATAAAACACAATGATTGGTAACAACAAACTTAACTGTTTATTAAGAGATAAACACAAACTGGACAAAATTATCAATAGCAATCTAATATTGCACAGTGAACAGTAAAACCGTAAACAGTTAAAGGTGCAAGTATTACTGTAAGTTTTAATAAAAATGCAAAACAGACAAGAGTGGAAAATAGTCTATTAACTTAGAATCAGGACTCTACTCTTGAAAAAAGACACTGCTTAAAAAAAATCAGTGCAAATAATAGTTAAACAAAAATGCCTTATACTCCCCAATCTCCTCCACACCTAGTCTCCATCTACACATCGTGCAGATAAAATAATCCCACACGGCTGACATTTTCCCCGCTATCTTCCAATTCACCTGTTTTAATGGTTAGGCCGGGAGACAGACCCAAAAAGACCTGTGGGTGTGTTGAAGGTGTTCTGGAAAATACGGACCGGATTCGGGGAACAATGGGGCAAAATAGTGGAATGGATTGTTTCAATCGGCGAAACTGGAAAATACGGACCAGAGTTTTTTTTTTAAAACTGGATCGGCAGTCTGGATCGGCATTTTTACATGCTTTGCCGATACGCATTTTTTTGCCAATATCGGCGTCCGATCCGATACGTGGATCGGATCGGGACAAGCCTATGCTCTGCACAACTCTTTTCTACACTGACAGTTGTTAGCATGCAAAGTACTGTATACCAGGTCAATGGACTCATTCAGACAAATAGCTACAGCAGCCACTAGAATTGCTTCTATTGTAAGCTTTATTGAAAATGAAGTGTTGTGCAGTTTAGGATCTGAACTTTAAAAAGTCCTTGATTTATTTATTAATTTTTTTTTTAACTGTTAAATTGGGTGTTGATTTTGTTTTATATAAGGACTCTGGTCAACCCATTGACTGGGACCCAGACTTAATAGCTCAGATTAGATCTAAAGATTCCTCAGGAAAATATTGAATCTTAGCCGACACACATAATTCTAGTAAATTTACTGCAATTTAAGGTTGAATATCTTTTTATTTTTATTTTTTTAAGCAAAATTTTTGTTTTTTTCGAGTTAGGATAAAGTAAAACAACAAATTGTAACAAAATCTGTATTGTTGTGATCAGTTCTCAGTCTTATGTAAGGTGCTGCAGTGGGGTTGAGGTTCTCCAGCAACAACCGAAGGGTTGTCAGTTCAAGTCAGCTTTCAGTATTGTGTCCATGGGCAAGATACGTCACTCACATTGCTTCTGTCAGTGAGCAGCTGTGGCTACAATTAAGCTTGCCACCATCAGTGTGTGCCTGAATAGCTGAATGTACTGTAGAAGCTCTTTGGTCAAGTCTCCCAACTAGAAAATGCTCAGCTAATTCCTTCTCAGGCCCGTCTGTGTTCTCTTTACCTTTTGGTCAAGTAGTTTTATTCTATAAGATAAAATCCATGGAATAATGGAGGTTGCTCTCTCTCCAGTAAACCACAGAGAGTTACCTCGGATCACCGTGTGGTTTGGTTCATGCACATAAACAGGGCAGGTCTAAACTAAAGCCAACTAGAAAAGCACCCGGAGAGTGCAGACCTCCGCCAAGCAGCACATTTTGCCCCAAATTGTAATTTACACCTATTGCTAAAACTTGCAAATGATTTAGATCATTACCAAGTTTAAATTAATTGTTCCTTTGCATGAGGCATACCTCTGCTAAAAAATGTCCATAAAATCCTTTCATAAGTTTTCAATTAAACCTGCTAACAAACCAACAACATTCCCTTTTCTTGTATTTTTGTCTCAAGCAAAATACCTCTTGACTTTATGAGTCCAAAGCTGAGGCTGTCAGTACTCACTGCTGCCACCCTGTGGTCAAATGGGGAATTGTTTGTTCCGCCGAATTTTCCCATCTGACGATTTTAGAGAATCTTTTTAAAATGTCCTGTATCCACATTATGATCTGGATCATCCCCAACATTTAAAGAATTGTTCCTCGGTACGAGGGATACCTCTGATAATACTTTCACTACAATCCATCCATAACTTTTCAACTTATCTTGTAAACAGACAGACAAACACATACTCTCCTAAAAAAATAACCTCCTAGGTGGAGGTAACAATAAAGTGCGCAGACAGGATCAACAGGGCTGACCTCCCCTCAATCCAGGACTTGTACGGTTCTAGGGGTCAGGAAATGGCAATCAAAACCCTTGCTGACCCACCACATACTGGATACAAACTATTATGATCATTATCTTCAGGTTGATGCTAGAGCATCGTTTGTGAAAAAAAAAAAAAAAAGCATGAATGTATACTTATATTTTGCATGTTTGTACTAAAACTGTGTTCATTTTAATCAAAGTTAAATGTATTGTTTGTATGTGCAAATGCGGAGATCAGAGTTGGTTTAGATTATAAATTGAGAAAATGTAGACCTGTGGGGAATCTTCCTTCCATGATTATATCTGCTTCAAACAAAAAAGCCTAATATCAGTATGGTTTGCAAATGGGCTTTCATATTTGTCTAAACCTCTTATTTTTTTCTGCAAATACTTTGGAAAATATCTATCGTTTTCTTAGGAGTGATTTTTATTTATTTATTTGTGTCTGCTTTAAAATATGGTGCAAAGAACATCAATGTAACAGGAAGACATATTGGTAGGGTAATGTTCAGAGCTAACTTTTTTGCTTTAGAAACCTACTTGGCTTCATTGATGGTAACATGAATTCCTAGCTTTATTAAAAAAAAAAGAAGCAAATAGAACCGAAGGAGAGTCCAGGCCACCAGTTTGTGACCATAACCAAAACCAAAATCCAATTATGCTGGAGGAAAACGATCATAAACACACCAGCATGTTCGCCTCTAATTGTCTTGCCTGGCAAAGTCCAAGTATAAACCTAGGCATGGTGGTGATACAGGGGTTCCGTGCAACCCGTGTACATAAACTGTGGTCCTCGCCTCGGCTGACACAAGTTAGATTCCTGACCTGGTGACATTAGCCACATATCTTTCTCCCCTCTCCAATCCCATCTCCTGTCTGCCTACTATTAAAAATAAAAATAAAGGTTTACTAGTATTTACCATATATATATATATATATATATATATATATATATATATATATATATATATATATATATATATATATATGAGCATGAGTAAATTCCAACATTACATGTACAGACTTAAGGTACTAGTAGTCATATAAGGACCTCAATAGAAATAATCTACTTAATTAAGGCCCCCCTAACAGAATTCTATATTTAATATGCAAAAATAACAGAATAAAAATGTTTTCCTAATACTGTAAAGTGCTTTTACTTTAGTGAGATTACAGCCATGTGTCCATCTCTAATTGTTTATGACTACATGTATCAGTACGGTGGCACGGCACAAAAATTATATCATAATAGGGGTGACTACAGACAGGGAATGCTCAAAAGACAGCACAGATGATGATTACCAAACTAAAGATTAGATATGCAAGCACAAGAGTTTATACAAGAGAAATTGCAAATGTACCTGATTGCCAGAAAGTTATGCAAAAATAGAAAATTAGACATTCGTACTGCAAGGGATCACATCTGACTGCCACTCTCTAATTCTGCAGTTGGCTAAAGCAATGGTCTGTTGAGGCGCTTCGGCAGGAAATGACTCCATGAGAGCCAAAAACAACAGTCCTAAAGGTAAAACGGGAGTGGAAAGTTCACTGAGCATAAGCTGCATGCAAGGACAACAGGACTACATTAGCTTCTCACCTAAATAGTAAAAAGGCACAGTATGATCACATTGTAAATATGTATGATGTGTTTTAAACCCCTGTTATGTGTATTCTGCAATATCCTCCTCCAAGATCCCTGAATCCCTGAAAAGATCAATGATTTGATCCCCGGCTGGTATGCACTTAGTCATTCCTCACATATAATGCCCTGTGGACATTGGCAAGAAATAGAAAGACGTTTTATAGTCAAAAGTAAGTCCTTGGGGACATTAGATAAAATCATCATAGTTATTAGTCTGCACAGGCCTGTGTGCCTGCAAGGCCAGGAAAAGAAATCTAACCACCCGGCTGGCAGAACCAAATGATGCCCCATTGGTATTGGAAGGAGAGAGTCAAACATTAAACTTTGGCCTTGTAATGTCCCAGTTTAACAGGAACGAAAAAAAATTAACCTAATCTGATAAACCAAAGAAAACATGTGAAACCAGATTAGTGTTTTACTGGGAAACTACAGTCAGAAACTTTGACATTTACTGGTCCAAGATAAATTATTTTACTTAAAACAATTAGTTCACACATCTGTCCATAACAGTTTAGCACACCTGTTCAAATTTCACTGCTAATAAGTTTCACTGTTTCACATGAAGAGTTGGAAATGGGCACGTTAGAGTATAGATACAAGATCTAATTCATTTAGTGGCAGAGGGGTGTAAACTCTGTAAATAAATGAATTCAACGTAAATATAAAAAGTCCTACAAACACAAAGAAATAGATCTGCACTCACAAAACTCAGACTAACATAAACACACAAAACAGATTTTAAGGAGAACAAGGTAAAAAAACAAGCTGCAAACAAAACAATGCTAAGGAAAAACGTTGCTAATATTGGGAGGTAAAAAACTCATATTAACCTGGACCATTATAAGTAAAGGCAAAAATAGGAAGCTCAGAGAAGTTGATTAAAGAAATTCCTTTCAAATATCCTCCGGACGCCATCCGGTTATTTTAAGTGTAATGTTTACAGCCTGGTCCCATATGTGTTGATGATTATCTCCCCCTAATGGTCTGGAGCAGTTCGACATGTGCTCCTAGTTTGCAGCTTATCCTATCTCACAATTTGCAGAATTTTTTCCTTTGCATGTATTTTTTTGTGCTTGCAGTACTTGTTGAAATTGTCGTGAATTCATGCATTTGCACAGCATTTGCATTCCTCAGCCTCTTTAAATTAAGATGTTTAAATATACAAAAAGTTACCGAACCTTTAGCCTTGCTGAGCAGTTGTCCAGCAGCTGTTCTTACGTGCAGTGAATAACTCAAAATCAGTAAAGTCATGTCTAGTTTTTCTGAGGGACAAGATAAGGAGTCAGATGACTGACAGAAGACTGCCCTTTATGCAAATGATCAGTGACTGGATAAAACTGCCTCTGTTTGATGACCTGCTCTGTACACTGCCTCCCTCCTTTATCACGGCTGTTGTTGTTTTTTTTGCTCAACAGTGGCCTCAGCTTTCTTTTTTACATGCATCCTTGGAGATTTATAATTCTATTGAAAGGTTTGTTTAGAATATAGTTACCATAACTTTAAAATATATTTATTTTTTTATTTAAAAACAACCCTGGTCCCTAATGACTTTTTCCTCCACTATCCTTTCTTCGAGACAGCTTGAGGTAGGCTGAGCGCAGCTATGTCCAGATCCACGAGATCCATGTCAAGATCTCGGAGCCGTTCGAGGTCCCGATCGAGGTCCCGATCAAGGTCCCGATCAAGGTCCCGTTCCTCATCACGGTCCAGGAGTCGTTCCCGGTCCAGGAAACATCGGTACAGGTATGACAGCTCGCTTTGCTTTTTCCATTTGCTTTATTTTCTTGATTGTTGAAAATGCTGTGATCAGACTTACAACTTAAAATAAATGCTGAAGAATCCAACTTTAACAGCAATTACTTATTTGAATTTAAAATTATTCTTCGAATTTTGTGGAAGCAGAATAACAAGTGCACTACATTTTTTGATGATGTTTTTACCTTTTATGTGGCTGCCGAAAGTTGTAAATAGGCAGCTTTTTGCACGGTTTGTGAATTTTTTAAAGCAAGACCCCACTCTCTCACAGTCTTTTATGAGCATGGCTCTAGAATGAATGGAGCAAGAGGATATTTATATTTAGGAGGGAGTCCAGGTGTTGATAGAAGCTTTTATTCCATGCCAGCTACACTGGCATGAGTTAAAAAAAAACGTAGAAGTTACTTAACTTGGTTTAATAATCTCAATATTTTTGAAGCTTTACATTTAAAAGCCAGCATTTGTCTGTGCTGCAGGAGCAGAGAAAGTTGTTAAGTCCAGTCGAAAGGGTGATCTGTGTGTGCTTGGAAGGAGCTGTGAGCCCTGACTGATGCATTTGCTGTTTCTGGCAGAATGACTGTGGCACCGCAATAAAAAGGCTTGGTTTCTCATTTCCTGGCAGTGGCGCAGCTTGTATTAAAATTAGCTTGAAGAAGAGACATGTAAGGAATCTCAGGCTTTATTCTTCCTCCTCAAACCACCGTAACACGTGCAAATAAGCTCTGTCAAGACACGCAGGAACTAAAAGTGCATTGATGCATTTATAGACAGTGTTTACCTATATCCTAATGTAAACGAACAATTAAATGCATTTTATATAAAAAGGGAAAAATGCATTTTCACATTGCTTTGTTTAACTCACTCTGATAAGATCCAAGAACAAAAAAGTTTTATTTTCTTTTTTCTGGGAGTAGGTAGGTTGTTATTTTGCACAGATTGTTTTATGGAAGTATATTCTCAAGCTATCAAAATTGCCACGATGCTCTGCAAATCAAACTCTTCCTTGATAATTTGATGCACTACACATCATCACCCCAGTTAGTGATCAGGTTAGAGTTGCTAACTCAAAGCTCATCATGTTACAGTGAACAGTCTAACATTTTAAAGTTGGATGGGAAAGGCGTTTTCTCTGAGTATCATTTTAAAGTTGAGGAGTCTGTGAGTGGGAAAAAAAGAGTCAAAGGATTCAAGTCGTTTTTATTTTTTTTTTCCCTCTCTCTTGGTACGGTCCATGTGACTCTGCTGTGCTCCACCACAGCGGTCCAGAGTATCTGCAGCTTTTAAACTGTGCAGTACTGCTTAGCGTGCCTCCTTCTCACTTTCGCTCCCTATTCCAATGAAAAAACATGCAGGGTGAGTTGCAGATATGCTTTTACAGACTACCTAAGTTTATAATGTTTTTCCAGGTTCTGTAGAATCTGCTTTGCATGCCAGGTTTGACATGGTGCTCTGCTGTTTTGTGCATTGTGCATGCATTTATTTGAGTATTACTTTTATAAGATTGTATGATTTTAGCAGTGAGGTGCAGCTTCCATGCATCATGCAAAGTAAATAAGTAAGTAAGTATCCTGCTGCAGATTAATTCTTTGGACAGCTCAGCCAAAACTGATGACCACCTGGAGTTTTCCAGTCTAAAACTATATATTTGTAAAGTTGCAGGTACAATGTTGAAAAGTGTTAATCTTTTAAAAAAAGCATGTCTGAGCATTATATTACTGCCCTGTTAAATAACTAGACATTTAGTAATATATCCCCAACAGTGAGTTAAATGTTCAAGTTTGTCTTCAGAAATACAGGAGAGCCTCCTTGTGGACATGCCTGACACTGCAGCCTGGAATATCTACCGCTGTCCTTTTACTGGAACACACAAGAAACACAGATGTTGTTGCATCAACATGTGTTTTGTCACTTTTAGTTGATATACAGTCACTGGACATAACAGATGTTATGCACATCATTTAGTTTAAGGTTTTTGTTTTTATTTCCATATGTTGGACCTTCTGTATGATGAATATTTTTAGCCTGTTAAAGCTGTTGTCTTTCAAATGACCATTCTACCTCATCATTTTAGCCCATTTGTCTTCATAAGAGTGAATTGCATAATTCAGCAGTGCCTGATTTCTAGTTGCCAATATTATAAAACTTTATTCAGCTTTTATTTGTATATATTTTTCTAATAGCTATAAATTGAGTATTTATTTCTCTTATTTTCAGAAAATGTCAATGGTTTACATTTAGATTACTGTTCCAAAAAAAACAAAAAAAAAACAGCCCAAAACCAAAAGGTTGACTCTGTTTAGTGCTGTAGGGGTTATGGTTATTAAATGAATCGATGAATATAGTAAAACCCTTAAAGTTGTGCAATAGAGATACAGAATACAGAAAGATACAGAAAGATAAACTATACCTAAACACAAATACAGCTTTACTCCCTTAAATTAAACCGTCTGTTATGCAACAGAAATGAATTGGATCGTATTCAATTTACCAGGGAGTCTGAAAGTCCCAGGTTTGACTCCAGCTAGCTCCAACTAAACCCAGGTACCTACAAAACAATGAATATCTGACTGAATATACATGTTTTCTAGGTATAATTGGGTGAATAGTGATTCTTATGTAAAGAACTTAAAGTGGTCAGTATGACTAGAAAAGCACTATATTAATTTAGTCCATTTAACTAAACCTCTTAACAAAAACCTCTGATTTACAGTTCTGTGTTGGTTTGTTAAGTCCTTTATTATTGCATTGTAGCTATAAATAAGCCTGACTCTCACTTATCATTATTATTTACATTTGGACCACAACAGGAGTCACACAGCATTGATTGGATGGTTTTTTTCTATCACAAAACTATGTGATTGAAGATATTTTTAAAATGGGTGAAGAAAAAAAGATATGAGTTGTCCCAGTAAACTGGTGAACTGTGTATCCTGCTTCTTCCCTGATGACTGCTGAAGTATAAGCCATGACCATCCGTCCAAAACTGCATATAAACCATGGATGGATCAGTGGATATATGGCAGGATTTTAAACTGTTTTAAATTTTTTATTATTAATAAAGTCAGCACTGTTAACAATATTAACTTTTAAAGTTCTCTATATTTAGTAGAGCCTAAAGTTTCCTTATTATTTAATCAAGCAGGTCCATGAACTGCTATCTGAATTGGACTCTTTGAATAAAGTAATTGATTTATTAGGTTAGCCCTCTCGTCACCTGCTGACATCAAAGGACAATTAATGGCGGCTTAAATCAACAGCAGACATACCGTGGTACAAATGTTGTGTATCCAGCTTCCGTTTGAATTAATAGATAACTTTAATTACGCTTCCTGCTGTAAAGACCTTCACATTTATTTGCTTTGTTGACTCTATGACCTGGTATTCCTGATGCATGGTGCATTCACTTGTCATGAACAGCTAAACATTAATCAGGCCAATCAAGCGTTAAAAAGTCCAAAACTATTTACCAGCCTCATGCATATCACTTAAATACATTATCTGATTAGCATTGATTTTTTTTTTCAAAACTAATAACACATTTGTTATCATCTGGTGTATTATCCTGGCAATGTTTTATGATACACAATATAAATATGTGTTTTGACCTCCTGCCTGTGTATTACAGTATGTGGTTTCAAATTCACTGTCACTAGAAAACTAACTAATGCAAATTTTAAATATAAACTCCAATGTTCGACCACCATTTTTCAGCATTTATTATTCTGGTCATGATTTGTTTCCAGCTGTTATCAGCAGAAACTTATGTTGTTTTTCCTCTGGTCTATAATGCACTCAACTGGAAAACACTAAACCATACAAAGCAAGAGGGATCTTTAATTCTTCTCTATGAAAATCGAATGACTTTATAAAAGTTGATTATTATTGGAATATAGTATATATATATATATATATATATATATATATATATATATATATATATATATGTATATATATATATATATATATATATATATATATATATATATATATATATATATATATATATATATATATCTTTTTTTTTTCTTTTTTTTTTCACTGTACTTACACGTAAACATTTGATATCAGTTATATAATTATTCTTGCTATCGGCTCGTGTCTCTACAGTCTTTAGTTTGCTTCGTTAAAGAAATAGTACTGGTTGCTTAACGTTTTTTATATAAAGCTGCATTCTGTTTATAAGAATAGCCTCACTTTGTTAGTTCCAGTACTGTGACTGGCAAGTTTTTTTTGACTGAAATATTGGCAAACAGCCACATTTGGGCTTCTGGTAAAAGTGAAAATCTCTTTTCAGCCAGCTGAGCAGCAGTGTAGTATGTAGGGGATCCGCAGTGCAAACCTAATCCGTGTAAGAGATAAATCTGGTCACTCTTGAATCTCTTCTTTTCTGTCAACTAATTAAAGTGAATAAAACATGTGGGGAGAATATAGAATGAGTATTACTTGAGAAAGTGGAGGTTTACTCGTATCAACAGTTTTACATTTTCATCATAATGAAAATAATAGATATATACCTGTTTTGAATTTATGTCCGCCGTCTGTTCTCTGTGCTTCTTCGTAGCTCTAGGTCTCGGTCAAGATCTCATTCCCCATTTCATAACCGAGAGAAAAAATATCCGAGGGCATACCAGAACAACAACAGGGAGTTCCGGGGGTATCACCGTGGCTTTCGGAGGCCTTACAATTTTAGAGGTCGAGGAAGGGGGCAGTTTAACCGTGGACGCTACCACCGTGGAGGTGGCGGCTACAACAACAACAACAACTTCCGTCCGAACTGGAAAAACTTCAAGCAGTACCATCATCAACAGCAACCGCAGCAGCAACAGCAACAGCAGCAGTTTAATCACTCAAGAGGGCGATCGCACAATGTGCAAAAACACTCAGGAAGTCCTCCTCAGGGTCACTCTCAACAGACTGAGAGATCGTCTTCCCCCTTGTCCAGACACTCGCAGCATTCTTCCTCCTCATCACACTCCTCTTCCCCAAAATCCAGGCCAGCCTCAATGCTGGCTAATCAAAACTCTAAAGATGTCAAGGAGCAGCATCTGGCATCCAAGGAGGTCCAAAAAGTAGGAGGGGGAGATGATGAGCCTGAAGAGCATGTTGGGTTACTGGCAGGAGATACTAGAGACGGAGCAGGCTGTGGGAAAGCTGAGAGGACCTGGCACAATCTGACAGACTGCAGCAGTCCAAAGAAAAGCAGTCCTGTTTCTAGCACTGATGCTAATGTTGGGCAGAGTAATCAAACTATTCCTTTGTCGAGTCCCACAAAAATCACAAATGACACCAGAAATGGCTCCCCAATGATGGAGGCAGCATCATGTTCATCCTCATCAAGGAAGGCCTCAAATGAAGGTCTGAATCCCATGCTTTCCAGCTTTGACTTCTTTTCCAGTGAGGAGTACACAGATGGAGATAAAACAGCTATCTCTATTGCTTTCAAAAAGTAAGACTCTTCTTTATCTAAATTTAATCCTGTTTTGCTGCAAAATCACACATTTTTTTCAATGTAATAACATTTAATCACTTATTTTATTTCCTTTCATAGATGAAATGCACACCTCTCTATTCTACTGATTATTGCTTTCAACCATATCCAGATGCACACAGCTGATTATTTCTTTTGTTCTATAGGTTTTTGGAGGAACACACCAAAAAAGCTAAATCTGCTTGGGAAAATGGCAAGATCAGAGAAAGCAATCATGTGGATAATGAAAAAGGAAAACAGAATGGGAAATCTTCAGTGGTTATCTCTGATACTTTACAGAAACTACAGAGGGAGGACATTGAGAGCGAAGTGTCCCTGAGAAGCTGTTTGAAAGCCACTCAGTTTTTGCCTGCTGAGTTGCAGGATGATGATATTGATGAGATGATCATTCGGCCACCTTTAAAATCCCTTCAGAAAGAGTGGCAAAATGGAGATGAGCTATCTAAACCAAAGAGCAAGGTCACTCATTCAGCCCAAAAGCTCTTTGAAAAGTGGCAGAATGCAGCCTGTGCACAGTTTGGGCAAGCAGACCTTGATACCATGGTAAGGGAGATGTATTTGAGTGGAAAACATGATAAATCAGAAACCACCACTGCTGCTCTTGGTAAAAGAGAGATAAAAGGGGATTTCAAGGATATTTCCCCAGGAATAAGCTTTAAAATACGGAAGACCGCTAAATCTCCCTCTGAACCTCCACTGAGGCAAACCTCTGACAGAGAGATGTTCATGGTTAGAGGAGAGGATCAGCATCTGATGCCTTCAAGAAAACAGGAACCAAAGTGTAATGTAAGAATGGATTTTCTTGGAGATGACCCCATGAGGTGAGTTTCTGTTTAAAGATTCACTAGTGCTAATCTATGAACAACTGTTTTTGTCATAGTTTGAAGAGGAAATATTTTCAGCATGATACTGTACATTAGTCCAGTTAAAGGCTTGTGCTGTTTAATTAAGAGCTAAACTATGTAAGATTTTCCACCATGTGGCAATTAAAGTGGCTTTAACCTTCCTGTGCAGGTACATTGTTTAGGCATAGCATTATGACCATGGCAGATTAAGTGAGAATCACAGATTCTCTCTTTATCATGGCATTGGGTTAACAGCGAGGGAACATTTTGTCCCTAAAATTTAAATAAAGAGATGCATTAGGATTTAAGGGAGAGCTTTAAAAATATTAAATGGTAATGCTAGATGAATGAAAAAAATGAAAGAAAAAAAAAAAAATGTAGCTATTATATTATTCCTGGTCTGCAGCGGTCAGTAATAGTGAGCAAAGGCTATTCGATTTTGGTTTGCTCCAGTACATAAAACTCTTTATTAATCCCACCAGGGGGAATTCATCTGAGCAGTATAAGAGAAAAAAAAATAATAAACATGTGATAACACACACACACAAAAAAAAAACTAAAAAAATAAGATGATTAAAAAAGAAAAAATGTGACCGGGACCTTAAGAACCAACATTAATAATAATAATAAAAAAAAAACTAAAAAAAAACAGAAAAATTGTAAAAAGATAACATAAAAATGTAGAAATTTAAAAGAGTTTAAGAATTTAAAAGTCAAATTGATGTTGGTATAAAAAAATTTGCATAGTGGTTTTGTTGTATAGGGAGGCATTACATAGCGGCGTCGTGGAGATAACAGAGATAATTCATTTTTGAGAACATGTTCTGATAAAGAGATGATCACTTTAGCGTTCTTTGCAATTTGTTCATCACAAACAGAAGGCAAGTCCCTCTGGTTCACTCCTATTATTTTAGTGATTCAGGCTGTTTTTATCTTTTAAGCCACAAAGGCTCACATTGCTGCAGATCATAAATCATAATGGTTCTGATGGTTTCTGAGAGAAAGATTTGAGATTACATAGTGCATAGAGGTCTATTGAGTATGAAAGATGCATTGCCACAAACCAGTCTGGGTGTCCATGTGGGGCCTTGTCCACTGCAGAGCAATGGACATATGAACATCTGAAGAGGGCTGTGAAGCAATGAGAAGACAGCCGGTTTGAGGAGTTTTTTTTTTCTTTTTAGAATATTACCTGAATCAGTTTTCCTTGTGTCACTTACCTCAGAAAAACTTGACACTAGGATGCACAGCCGTTCGACAGGAATTTGAAGGCTGCATTGTGATGCTTCAGGCATTATTCTGCTGAGAAACCTTTGATCCTGCATTCGATGTGGATATTTCTTTGACATGTACCACTTACCAAAGAGAGCTACAGACAGGTTGCATCCTTCCATGTGGGATAAATATCCAAAGACTGTGCCCTTTTACAGCAAGATATTGCATCTGGACATACATAAAGTAAAAATGGCCCAGGAATGGTTGGAGGTGCACAACAAAAAGTTTAGATATTTATCCTGCCTCTAAATTTCAGAGATCTGACTAAAATTAAGCATCTTTGGGAAGCAATGGATAAACTACTGTAGTCCAGTAGAGCCCCTGCATGGTGGTTTAGGTCTGTTTTCACATCAAAAGAGGATCAAACACACTGGCAGATGGTCATAATGTTATGGCTGATTAATGTTAGTTAATGTATTTATAGAATTATTTACCAAGTTGTTTCCTTACTTTCGAGAGATTAACATTTATGTCCATTTACTTCACAGAATTGCATTTTGCATTATGGTACTGCACTATTTGCATTTTTAACAACTAATAGAATTCAATTTCTGCTCATAATTGAGCAAAAAATTATCTGTCTTTGAGTAATCTGATAGATTTGGGCTGCGGTGTAGAGAAAGGCAGTGAATAAATGGGCTCTTTTCATTTCAGCGCTTCAGATATTTTAGCTGAAGAGCGGCAGTTGTCTCAAGACTTGGTGCAGTCATCAAAAAAGCATCAGGAGTTTCGTTCCATCTTTCAACACGTTCAGACTGCTCAGCCACAGAGGAGCCCTTCTGAGTTGTTTGCTCAGCACATTGTGGCCATCGTTCACCACATTAAGGGTGAGTCATGCATTTTTTAACTATTTAATCCAAGTTTCTACACTACTGGCTATAATTTTGTATTATGCACTTTGTATAATTTTTACTTTAGTCATTAAGGTTCAGAACAAGCAACAACGCAATGAAAATTTAGAAAATGATGTGATTGGTTTTTACAGGAATGAATCGAGTACATTTAAATTGGTTTGTGTTGCAAAAAGTGCCTTGTTGTGAACTGGAAGTGTCTAAGAATTGAATATCCACGGCCTTTTATGTCTTAACTTTTACCCTCCCAGCCCAGCACTTTCCATCTTCTGGTATGACTCTAAACGAGCGATTCACCTTGTACCAAAGACAAGCAGCAGAGAAGGAAATGATTAAGCCAAGAAAAAGCCCAGAGATACACAGGTAGAGTCGCCTATTGAGTGACCCTCTCACCTTCAGTGTGCTGTGGCTTCACGTCCTCTTTTAACAGCTGTCAGGTATTTCTTTTGCCTTTCCTATCCGATAATCAACAGACTTTCAGGGACTTTTTTTGTTTTCATACTTGGTGGAGGTCAGTTTTGTTTTTCTGGCATTTTTTTATTTTTCTCTTTATTCCATTTTATGTTGCTTTGCTGATTTAGCATAGCTTACCATGTCTTTGCTTCCACTATGGACCAAGTGAGATTGTATATATTTTATGGCCTCAACTGCGGTTCTTTCCTACAGGCGGATTGATGTTTCACCAAGTGCTTTTAAGAAGCACCCTCAGCTTTTCGAGGCGATGAAAAGCTCAGAGGAGGGGACTTACAAGGTGACTGAACACTTTGCTGTATGACATTTGTTGGAAAAACTGCAGCAAACAAGCGAGCAAGTCAGATGCCTTTAGACTGCACCCTCTTAAAGCCCCTGGCTTTCTATGAGGGAAGATGGTCAAAATCTAAAAGAAAGGCACTCTGGTCTTTGTGTTTGTTGTATCACCACAAACACACTTTGATTTGTTTGTATTGTGGGCACAAGCCTGAAAAAAGGCTAATAAATCATATATGGTCAGAAATGGAAGTCCCAAAGCTTTCCAAAGGACTCTTAACAAATGTCTTTGTAAGTATACTCTGAGCAACAATAATTAAAAAATAACAATAACAAATGAGGCACTAAAATGACCGACATTGCATTGATTTGCAAACATAATTATCTCCTGTCCTCCCTTTAGAAAGTTTAACAGCTAGAATTGTACAATTATTTTATTTGTTTTGATGGAAAAGACAAAAAAAAAGGTGATATAAGAGAAGGTGAAGTGGGAGAAAAACGATGCTGCAGGATGGACATGGCTTTATTTATTTATTTTAATTACAAATACAAAAAGAAGAAGGCTTTCAGAATATTTGTATTTGTTCGTGATGATTAAACAGACATTTGGGGTGTATCTAAAATCTTTTTACATCCAGAAAAGACTAGCATTTGCTCATTCCTCTTTTTTACAGTCAATAACTCAAGCTCTGATATCATTGAGATTGTCATAAAATAAATATCCTTTCCGTATATTTTAAATGTGGTTTGGGTCTAGATCCTTCTACGAAATATGTATAATTTTGGTCTAATTATGTAATTTAGCCCCTGCATAGAGCTCCATGAATCCTATAAGCCTCCCTGATCCTTCAGCAGCATAGTGCTGCCACCACCATGTTCCATGGGAATAATAATGTATCAGGGTGTTAGTTTTCCTCCACTTATAGTATTTTGCATGTCACTCAAAAAGAGAAACTTTTATTTAAGTGGAGCACATCCATTCAGATGCACATACAGTGTGACATACAGTTTAAAGCAGACTGAAAAACCTGCTGTCCCTTCTTCCTATTGCCTGATGGTGCATTGAACAGTACTTAGTCACCTTTCTGAAATGTTTAATCCCACACTGGTGGACTATGTATACTATTGGCACATTTATTGGAAGTTTTATTTAGGGGTATAAGGATAAAGGGTGCTGAATATGAGTGCATGACCATATTTTTTTCCTTCATTTTTAATATTTAAGATGATGTATCCTTTTTCTTTCCACTTCACTTCTGTTACTCTATTTGGTCTGTCACATACAATCACAATAAAATACATTGGCTTGTAGTTGTAATTTTTTGAAAGGTTGTAAGCACTTCATGCAAATAAACTTAGTTTTACATATGATTCTGATTCAAATATTGAAGTAGTTGCTAATTTGCTGTGACGCATCAAAACAGCTCGTAAATCAGAGAAGCTAACCTCACCTCAAAGTTTATTTACACTTGGTTTTTAACTTTGCTTTTCTCAAACTTGTATTTAGTTGGAAAAATGTTAAACTTGTGTTTTGAATGACTCATTAACTCCCTTCTAACCTGTCATTTAAATTTAGATCCCACCTTTCACAAAATCATTGTTGGCAATTCATTGTATCAGTGCAGTATGATAAACAAATTTAAATACGGGGAAACTTGTTTAAAACAGGGAAGTTACTAAACAGCCTGTTTTCAAAACTACTTGATTTTTGGTTTGGCAAAAACCTCAGAAAGCATCATGAAATGTGAATAAAAGAGTGTGTGGAGATATATTGGTGCTATTTGAGGCCTCAAGATACAGATAAAAACATTTAAAAAAATGACTATGAAAGGTTTATTAAAAAGTAAAAGTTTGTAGATGAGGCAAGTATTTATTCTTTTTAAGAGATTTCCATGATGCAGAAAGGTAAAGTATACATGCTAATCCAAAGTCTGTCCACGGCGGTTTGTTTTGTGTTTTGATTTGTGCAGGACGGTTTGGAAAAAGTGAAGGGGGATCCAATGGACCTTCGATTGGATATAGAGCGTCGGAAAAAATATGCCATGCATGAAAGAATTACAGGAGATTCCCAGGACTATGGTCAGGAGAAATCTGAAGAAAGTCTCTCGAAATACAGCAAGAAATCAAAGTATGTGCAACTATAGACTTTAGAGTTGTGAACCTTTTACAGTTGTGTTATTTGGCCATGCATTTCTGCTCATTTAGACTTAATTTTTGTTTAATTTTTTTCGTCTTAATTTTACTTGTTTTTATGGTTTTTTTTAGAAAAATTATCCGTAAACGCTCTCGCTCCAGCTCATCCTCTTCTTCCTCCTCCTCCATTTCTCACAATGAGGAAGGTTTAGTTCATGGGAAGTTTGAGTCAAAGGATGAAATCTTTAACAGGGCCCGACTTGGACAGAGGGAACCACCTGGAAAAGTTGAAGGAGTGCGGACACAAGAAGAATTTGTGAGTTTATATAGCATTGCATTTTGAGTTACACTCACTGATTCGTTGACTGGGTTCAATTTGTTTCATTTCATATGAACTCCAAGAACATGTATGTTAATGCATTTAGTATCTTTACCTACTGAAATTCTAAAACTTAAAATTGGGAAGACTGGCTGATTTTAAGAATTTCAGAAACTCCTGATCTGCTGGGTTTTTCCTAAAAAATGTCTTTGGATCGCGGTTTAAAAAAATGAGTGGATACTCTCTGTTACACCTGAAATGTCAACATTTAAAGCTGATGGGCTGCAGCAGTGATAACCAGCAGCCACTTCAATATTTGGTATCTAAGAACAGGAAACAGAGGCTGCGGTTTCTTTAGGCTCACCAAAAACGGACAATAGCAGAAACAACTTTGCTCGGTCTAAGTCTTCATTTAATTTGCAACTGTCTAAGATTATTGTCAGAATTTATTGTGAATAACATAAAAGAATTGATTCATTACGTTTGCATTTAACAGTCAGGCTGGTGGTGAAGGATATATATGCTTGGTACATTGTGGCCCACTTTGTACAACATGAGAAGAAGAAAATGAATACCACAGTCCACAAGAGTATGTTTTGGTGATCATGTCTATCCAGTTATGACCATCATGTGCTAATCTTCTGTTGACCACTTCCAGTGGAACAATAAACCATGTTAAAAACCTCAGATAAACTTCATGTAGCATCTGAGTCAAGCCACCATTGTGCTGGTGAAGATTCTCAATCATAGAGGTCATAGTCACACAAAAGAGTTAAAAAACAAACCACTGGACTTACTTTTCCAAGTTTGAAGACGTCTCGCTTCCATCCAGGAAGCTTTTTCAATTTAAAACCTCAGAATTAACATTGAGTTCCAAGCTTTATAGGGTATTTACTTTTTATTTATTTATTTATTTTTTACTTTTTTGGAATAATATGGACATTATTTCAAGGAAATGTAATAATTGCCCACATTAGATGACTTAAAATATCTACTGACAACCGAACAGATTAATTATTTCTTAGAAAGGCCTGATTACTGAGTCTGTCAATTTGTTCACTGTACCTCCTTTTTCTTCTGTACTTAACGAGTAACTAAGCAAACATCGCTCTGATTTTAACCATAAACGGGTGCTGCCTTACTGACTAAAACTGGTAGTTGGTTATACAGGAGATGACCCTGGTAACTAAAAGATCAGCCTCCCATTCTACTTTTAGAAATTCTAGGAACCACTTGTAAACCTGCAGATTAAGAGCAAAGTGCTCTGTTAGGAACATAAGGAACAATCAAAACAAAGAAAGGAAAAAATAATTGTAATAAAAAATTAGGTTTAAAGTCTGAAGGCAAAATGTGGCTCGACCGGATGATCAAAGTGTACCTAATGAACTATTTTTTTGTGTGTGTATTTTTCAACTTTTTATTTTATTTAGCTTCAGAAAATTCAAATCCAAAGAAGCAGCTGGAACAAAGGCAGCCATCAAGGAAACAGCTCACACAGTGAAGAAGTAAACACAGCAGCAAACGCCAAAAATGAAGCCTGGGAACCAAAGTTTAGTCCAAGGAACAAAACATACTTCTTAGTAAGGGTTTCTCTGTTTCCTAGTTCAGTCTTTTCACTATTTCCATCCCTCATACTTCTTTTAAGTATCTTCTTTGTTTTCTCACCTTTGTAGCATGATGACAGAGACCATGAGTCTACATGGATACAAAACCAAGGGCAGGGTCGGGGAAACCTTCCTCCTGGAAGGACACGATTTATCATCCGCAAAGCCACAGGCAATGCAAACATCTCCAAATGGGCTGTTGATAAGGAGGCTGATCAGGACCACAAAGTGGAAGAAATCAATGGACAAACCACCTGAACAATGCAGAAATCAGTTGAAGAGAAATTTTCAGACAGAATGGATCAATTGACGCTGATTAGAATATATGATCAGTGTAGGATGCCTTTTTTTTCACATTGTATATTCACCCTCTATTATATCAGGTTACATATTGTGACTAATAGTAGCACTGGTTGGAGCAATTTCTTTTTAATAAATATTACATTTAAATGTTACATTTTTTGTGTGACATCTCTCATGCAAGGTTTTTACAGATTTTTTTTTTTTATTCAGGCATGTTAACTGTCTCTTAACTGCTTTTTGTTGCTCGCACAATTCAATCCGACAAATCTTTGTGAAAGTTACAGTTAACTTTCTTTGAGAAAATACAGCAATGCCTGCAGATTAAAATGGGATATCTGTTTTGTGAGCATCTATAGAAGAAAACAACGCTGTCTCATCTAGATCTCGATCACTGCAGAAAGTACTGTCTACTGTTATTATGATATAGAATTAAACTAACTAGATAAACAACATGTGATCCTGATCTGACACTGGGACCAAACCATGCAGTGCTGAAGTTTTAAGAGCACCGTGTCTTTACACAACATCCAGCCAGCTCACACCAGCACTGTCTTGGAGTACGAAGATGTATGCTGTCCGATATTCTTTAAAGTTCATTTTTGTTCATCTCAAGTGCTAGAAATTTAGAACATGGATAAGATTATTTGTAGTTGTTCAGCTAAGAAGAGTGGCTTTTGATTATGATGCAAATGTTTTCAATACTTTAGTCTTAGATACATTTCTCTGGGTTGTGGATTTGTATTCATTTTAAATGTGTTTAGATATGTACATTATTTTAGCTTTGCTCAGTCAAAGATAAGGTTAATTTTTTTGTGTATTTAGTTTGTAATAAACAGAAAAGATACAGAGTTTGAATGAATGTGTTAGATCTTGTGGATTGTCTTTTTTTGTTAAGCTTAGGATAAAATTCAAATGCCAATTGTTCAGATGACAGATTCATTGGTTAAAGATGATCTTGTTAAATAATGCTGCGGTTTCTTCTGGTTTCCATTGTGTTTTTCTTTTTCTCTGCAGTTCTAAATTAAAATGACATAAAGGATTGTGCTGATGTGTCTTATTAACAGTATTTGTTAACTTTCTCTATGGTGCATCTGGTGTAAAAACATTGCCAAGACAAGCTAGTCATAATGACTTGCTGTTAGAAATAATCTTAATCTTTCATTAAAAAAGACTTGTTAAAATACCTGGACTGTTAAATATAACATATTTGTATAATTCTCAATGAATTATTAGTTTATATATACAGGTAATTCTATTTTTTTAGTTTAATGTCCCTCAGATTTGTTATGATAAAAGTAATCATCTTAATTTCTGATTCATAAGGTTAGAAGAAAATAATAGGATGATACGGGGCAAATTACATATATATAATGGCCTATTTAATATTAATAATGAAAATACAGTTACTCTCCTCATGCGCCACTTTTGAAATGTCAATAACTTTGTTATTAAGCGAGAGGAGGCCATTAAATCGGCACACCCTTAACCCCACACTGCCTTCCGGGCAACGCACAGTACTCCTCAAGAGGATGGGTTAAATGCAGAGGTAAATTTAACCAGTGTGAGATCAATAAAGTTAAATTATTATTAATAAAAGAACTGTGAATAAGCCCCCAATGCATTAGCGCTCTCTAGGGGCAATAGCATTTATTACACCTTGGCCATTCCTTAATATGGGAGCAGCTGAAAGGACACACATATGTGTTTTTGTGAAACAAAGCCTTTGTCATTCAAATTTAAAATTCTTAAAATGGGAAGAGTTTTGTAGAATTAATGAAATATACTCCAAGGTTTTTGGTGATTTTAGATTAGTTTCTACTTTGAGAAAGCTCTTTGGGGGAAAACCAATCAATTTTAGCTCAGCACATCCGCCTAATACAGTTGCTGTAACAGTACTGTTATATTTCTATCAGCCACATCTCCTGAACAATCGCTCTAAGGTAAGACTAAAAGTGGTCCCCTCTAAACTTAATTCATTAGATTGTAACGATCTTGGTTCTGTTGTTTTTCTCTAAGTTTTCAGTTTCAAGTTCATCCAGGTTTTTCCTTGTTTTCTAGCTTTATTGGTGTGTCTGGATTCATTTAAGTTTCTTAGGTTTTTCTTTGTCTGTCCTTTGTTGCCCCCTTGTGTTTTCTTTTCCCTTGGCTTCCTCATCAGCTCTAGTCATACCTGCTCCTTATCAGCTCGTTAGTCCTGTCTTTCTTCAGTCAGCCATAAATACACTCCCTCTGCAGCCCCTCTTGGCTGGTTCCCTTGATGTCTCCATGGTTCTGGTTTGTGTTTTATTTTTATGTTGGATTTTTGGATACCTGTTTTTGTTTAACATTTTTAAGTTGGATTTTTTTTGGATTCCCGTTTTTGCTACCTTATCTTTCATTAAATCTTTAAAGAACTCACCCCTGCGTGTCAGCCTCTGCATTTGGGTCCTCTTAAAAACCTCCAAAAAAACTGTGACATAGATAACTGATAATCTCACTGTGGGTTGTATATTCAACGATTTGGCATGAAAGATGGAACAGGTGTAACATAGAGTTAATATATTCCACATATTATTTTTATTTACCAAAGTAAGGACTATTGGGTCCTTTCTCATTATAGAAATATAACTTAATAGAAAAATATGAACAATTTATCACATCCAATAAGACATTTGAAAACTAGAAGCAGTGTTGAAGAAAACAAGAGCAAGTAAATACTTTGACTAGGTCTATATCAGGATAATTTCTTTATTAACTAGAAATGTGTTGTGATTAAGTTTGTAAGAAACATGATTAGTTATCAGTCTAACATTTAGAAGCAAACACTCCAATACAACAAACAGGGCAATAATCACAGGAGACTGCAATAGTTTCCTTGTTCCTGTTGACATAATATGAGTGCTGCATCTGATCAATGAATGTGTTGTTCATGACCTTTGGTCTAAATTGACCCAAAGTTTAATTTCAGTAAGTGGTTCTTATGTGTTTTTTGTGCAGAAAGAGAGTCAACTTTGGGATTTTTCTTCTAATATCCCAGTTCCCTTTCCCACCAAAAGGCAATCATATGTGTGTTTATTTCCAATATTAAGCTTAAGCTAAAGAATTGAATTGAATTTCTCTGTAAAGCAAATTTCTGACAGATATAACTGCCAGAAATTTGCTTTCACATAACTGTTGTGAAGGTAAATTAGACTTGAGAAAAAGAGGCTATGTAGAATAAATAGGAAGACTAGTACAACTACTGCAGGCCATCCCAATTCTAAATAAACTATTCAGATTATTGCTGCTAGGAGGAATGTGTTCATGGATGTCTGCATACATTTAATAACGCCGACTGAAACTGGAAAAAAAAAAATTATTTCATCAAAATTCTGCCAGAGTTTTCCTTATTTGAAAATAGGTTATAAATCCCTACATTGGGTGTCAGGTCATTATTTCTCTGATCTGCTACTTTGCAACAATATGTCTTCTGAAATATAAATTTTTGCTCTGACTTTAAACTTGAAATTGAGGACTTCCCTGCCACTGATTTTTTATTTTATTTTTCTTGAGAGAAAATTTTGTTTTATAGTGAGCGCAACATTTCAAATGTAGTCATTCTTTTTCATTTTTATGCTTTGTGCTTGTTTTTAAATTTTACGACTCGGTGTTGGTCAACCTTTTATGTGTATTAACCCTTAGCACAGCTGATTAACAAAATACTACCCTCTCTCATGATTGTCGCTATTCTAAAATGTAAAACTTAACCATGTAATTATTCTTTTCACAAGAATCTAGGAAATACATTGACTCTGGCTGTGTTGAATGACAATGTTAAATCCATTTTCAATGATCTTGGAGAAACACACAATTACCATTTTAAAGGTCAAATCTGATTATCTCACATTGACAATAAGAAAAAAACAGTGACCAGGTGCTGTTGATTGAACTGCTTGATTAATTTCTCATTAGCAGGTGTGAACACTAGCTCTATAAAAGCCAAGTCTGGCAGCTTTCATTTAAAGTGGCAACAATTTCCCTTATAGAAACAGTCCTTTGTTTTCTGACTGGTCAGTTTTACAGATATTATAAAAATGAAGTATTCCCAATCTTGGTAAAGATAAGAACTTGACTGACTCATCTGTACACTTGCAAAAATGAAAGAAGGAAGCACATGGCTTATGCAGGTATCTAATAATGTTTATAATGGAAAAAAATTATGTTTAGAAGCATCATTTAGGAAGAATCACTAGAAAATGTATTAGATTTTTACTTGAGCACCTCCTTATAAAGGAAAACTATAAACATTTAGATATTCCTCTTGAGTTCATAATTTTAGTAACAGGTTATAAAAGAGTAAATTACAGTAAACCATTTAACTTGTTTAGATGCTACAGCTGGTTTCTATTCTTATGAGCTACAAAGAAACCCTTATGTGTTTTCTGTAAACCAGTTGTTCCCGTTTGCCTTAATCTCTGTCTTCTCCAGCTCACAGTCTTGTGTGAAACCCGTCCTACTCCTTGCTGCTGACTTGTTAAGACTCGCCTCAGGAAAGCTTGCTCAATGTTAATGTTTGACGAGGAGGAAGAAGGGCCCTGGCTTCTATTTCTCTTAGACAACAGAACCACAGCCTTTCAGTTCTACTTTTACTCAGACACTTGTTTGCTGCTCCTTGAAGGAACTAAACGGTTTAATCTGAGACATAACGATTGAACACATGGGTGAGTCAGCTTTAAATATATACTCGTGGCCTGTGATATATTGATTATAAGCTATTCTTTTTTTTTTTTTCTCTTGTTTGCTGGGGAACTGTTTAAGCCTTAAGCTAAGAGCAACAGTTGAGAAATGAAAGAATTAAATAGTTGTCCAATACAATTATTGCTTACAGGTACTTTAATATGCCTTGAAAATTAAACCTTAGCATTAAACTGGTGAATGAAAACTACAACACAGCATTGCATGAGCTTTATAACCCTGTGTGTTTGTTTGTAAAACCTTAACTCAAAGATTGTGAGATAAGAGCATGCATGTTTCTGTATCTTTCCCTAATTTGGTGTAACATAATTTTAATCCTGCAGGAAAATCCTATAATTAAACATAAGTTCTTTCTAAAGAAACCTATAAATTCTGTTCAAAGTATCCCAAACAGTCTATATGGCCTCAAGTCCAGGAGGTTTGTCTTGATCTTGAAGTGTCAGGACACCTCAACTATCCCAACCTTTGTGAAAGGGCTCTAATGTTGTGCCCCATTATCTGCAGAGGTGCTGGTGCTGGTCGATTTTGAGGCCTCCATGGGCGACGAGCTGACCGTGAAGATTGGAGATGTGGTCAAAAATGTCACCAAGGCCACGGACGAAGGATGGCTGCAGGGGGAGCTGCAGGGGAAGAGGGGCATTTTCCCGTCAAACTTTGTCAAAGTATGTTGAGTCATGGTGAGCTGTCACTTTGTGTGTATATTTATATGCTCACATACCTACTGAATATTTTGTCATTGTCTCAATACAGGAAATACCTGTGTATTTGATGGGCGACAGCAAGAGGGAACCACGAAGCATTAGAAAAAGTATGACATAAAAATATTCTACTTTTTCTTTGTTGCAAATATGTATAAAGGTATTTAAAAAGCCACAGTCACACTTATGAAGGCAAATGTGCAAAATTAAAATGAGAATTGTTTTGTAAGAGCATGAAAGCTAATATGTGTAATGTTTACTTCCAGGAAGCAAGTCAGTTTTAACAAAACTTTCTTTTAAATATTCTAAGTAGAAAAGGTATGGCTAGGTATGTGGCCTCTGGGATTAAAATGTCTTCATAATGTATGTTTTCAATGATAACAGGATACTTTATATGAAGCTATCAGTCTTTCTCTACCTGCATCAGACTAAAGTCAGCTGGTAGAGAGGAGGATAAATCCACACAGTAGGGAAAGGCTAGCAGGATACCTGACAGACTGATCTCCTATTTGAGCTGTTCTTGGCAAATCAAGCAGAAAGAACAAAAATGTATTCAAAAAGAAATGGGACCTGTATGTCAGATCAATGGGTATTTTCTATGTTTGAAAGCTAATTGGGTACAACAAGGTTCCTAGTTTTTATTTTTCTTTATTGGTCCCTGATAACATTTGTTTTATTAAAACATAGAGCCATTTATATCCACAGAAAACAAGCCTTTACAATCAGATCTTTAGGAGTCTAAAAAACCTTTTTTGCTTGTTTTCTAATAACTTTTTATTGAACCTTTGTACAACTTTTTAGCGTCACATTTATTTATTACCCATTTTATTAAGATTCTGATCCATGAATATTCAGATCTTCAAATCCAAATAAAAAGGAATTTACACCATAGAATACACCAAATTATGGACCGATCTCCTCATTTGTTGTTTTCCAAAGTAGACTTCCTGTTTTTCAGCTGACACATCATCTTGATCAAAGATGCTTATCTGCTATGACTCTGCTACCAGATGATGCTGCTCTGGTAGCAGAATGTCATCTGATTAAGCAACTATTTTCTGTTCTGTTAAAAGATAAAGAAATATGTATTTACTACTGTCTGAAACCTTTTTTTTTTTTTTTTTTGTTCTCTGGTAAAGCAAATTTGGACTTTAAGTTGTGCATTTCGGATTCAAACTGACAGCAGAGCTCAAAGTTTTTGTTGTTTTGTTTGCAAATGACCATCCAGCAGGTCAAAACAAAAAAACTTTAATGTTAATCCACATTAAATAAGATGGATTGAGGCTAATGCACCCTTATCAGCCAAGTCTGGTCAGTCAAATACAAAGGTATTGAGGATGGAACATTCCTGCTGTAATAGATTTGTGTTTGGAAAATATCCATGTGTAGCCGGCTGTTGATCAGCTAATCAGGGTGACTTTGGAGCCAACAGCCCCAGGCTCTAATTATAATACAGACCGGCAGGGAAAGCAGTCTAATATCTACACATGACAATGGTTGTCTATGAGTTTGGGATATTTATTATTCTCTAATTTGCCAATTATAATCCACTGATGGGAATTATTTTAAACATCTAAAATCGGCCAAAACATGATCCTGTTCTGTTGGCCTTTTGCTGCTCTCAGGATTTATCAACCGAAACTCATTATCGTATAACCTCCTTTTACAAAATAAAAAATTATTTTGATAACTCCACCAGACCTCAGTAACAATGGAACGAAGCCTTTGTGTCTGCATTGAAACATTAACTGATTTGACAAAGACTAGAAATAAACCAAAGAGAAACAAGAAAATGTATCTAAAAAAAAAAAAAAAAAAAAAGTGTTAAAGAATGTGGTTATTGGTGAGCAGGCTTAAACGGACATGGCAGTAAGCTATCTGTGAATAGATGAAGCCAAACAAACCTGATTTTTTTTTTTTTTTTTTTATTATTGATGTGTTTTTGTTTTTCTTAGCAAAAAAGGGAGTGCAGACAAGGAAATGTGAGGTCGCCTTCCCATACAGTCCCCAAAATGAAGATGAGTTGGAGCTGGTGGTTGGAGAAATTCTGGAGATCATTAGAGAGGTAAACAGACATCTTATTTCTCATTTCATGGCTGCATTTAAGCTCATTTAACAAAGTGCTTCTAGTCTGAAAGGAGAGATTTATTTATTTATTTTATTTTTTGCAGTGGAAATTACATTTCCCAGATCTTTAATTATCATGTGGTGCCCCAGAAAAAGAGCCAGGATCTTGAGCCAAGAGTAAATAACTAGATCCTAAAATAATTACTCCAATAGATAAAAACATCACTCATAAAAGGAAAAAAAAAAATGTATCACATTAACATAATTTTCAGTATTGTGCTTTATTAATTATTTTATCCATTGGCAATTACATTTTTTGTTGTTCTTGCAAACCACATTTTTGCTGGTCTAAGCAGTTCTGATATTCAGACAACCATGCAGACAGATATGATCTCTGAAATGGAAACATGATATTCATCATTAGGTACCTGGTCAATATTTTTCTGTTTATCTGTCAGATTGAAGATGGATGGTGGATGGGCCTAAAACAAGGCAAAGTTGGAGCATTTCCCTCCAATTTTGTTAAAGAAATTTTCGTTTCGCCCAAAGGTTGGTGGCTAAGGAATTTGCTTTTTCTTTAGAGAAATACTCCAAATCTTACTTGGATAATTTTTACCAACAGATGCAAAGCAAAACGAGGGCAAAGCCAGGCCTAAACTGTCTGATGCCATGTTCACCAAGGAGGTATGACCATAGCAAATGAGATCACTCAGACTTTTATGAACTGTCCTGTTAATAATTCTCCACTTTTACCTCCTTTGAAGATATCTCAGCGAGCCAGTGTGAGAAACAAGACAAGGAACAGTGAGTTCCCACCCTTCTTATGTCTTACCAGCTGCATGAAGGCTTTTGTTTGTCCTTAAACACAGCTAACACACGTTCTATTTTAAAAACAGCATTTGAAAGCAGTTTGTCCGGTTTATTTTTAGCCTGACAAAAACTTTGACAATGGCTGCTCTCTCATCTGTGTGGCCTAGGTGGGGTCATGCCTTGATTTGTCAGAATCTGACAGAGCAGAATATCTGAGGTTGAAGGTTGACTGCGTTCATCTGCAGTTGTACACTGTCATTTCCCTGGAATGGAATTAGTCATCAGTCTTGAAACCTTCATTTCCAGTCATGTTTAAGATGCTCCACTGATCTTTTAAAGATTAGTGATCATGTTATCTCTTCCTCTTTCTCTCCAAGGTGTGGAGTATTGCCAGGTCATGTTCGACTATAAGGCCAAAGCAGCGGATGAGTTGGAAATGAAGAAGGGTGACGTTGTAGCCATACTGAACAAGGTTTGAACACTCTGGCCTTTCTTGGAAGAATTTCCCCACATTGTGTTTCCCTTCTTACAGGCAGTCCTTACTTCTGTGGTGCACTTTTTGCAGTAGCTGTTGTGTTTAATAACTTGTATCGTTCAACTGGACAAACCTGTTTTTTGTTTGTTTGTTTTTTTCCACTTTCGAGGAAATCTAGCATCTCTGAACAAATATTGCATGTTTAGGGTATGTTCAGACGTAGGCAGGGGACATCTCACGATACAAAAATACAGCTGGATAAAGCAAGAGCAAAACTGTTTCCGCTAGTATTCCTTCTAATAACCTTTCAAAATGTATCATCTTTATCCCAGTACTTTTACATTAAGGCATCACATTTCCTAATAAATACTAAAAAGGAAGTGATCAAATGAATCATAGTCATTCCAAAAAAAGAACATTAAAAACCAAATCCACTGCACTGGAGTTTCCAAGTTGAAGACATTTGGCTTCCCCTCCAGAAAGCTTTTTCAATTCAAAATGTCAGGAAGGTTTAATGTGGCTACTCTATAAAACCTCAAACTCAACGCGGAAAATCTTCAAACTTGGAAACAAAGTCCAGTAGATTGAATCAAATACACACTAAAGAGACTGGTTAAATTCAAAGCAAACCAAACACCCATTTCCAAACTATAATCATCAAAACATAAAGAGAGACAAATTCTCCTCCAGGGTATATTTCATTAGAACCAGATTTGGTAACTTTGATGCCTGAAATAGAAGGTACTTCCACAAACATTTAATACAGACATATCAGCAATTTAAACCTTTTTATGACACAAAAAACTAAAGGCAATTAGTAATCCAGTTTATTTAGTCGCCTGCTTATAATATGGGAAGTCTTTATGAGAAAATGTATACTAAAAAGAACATTTGTGTATAATTGGATAAAAATATAAATCGTGATGCAAACTAATACCTTTGCTTTCACTTAGGACACTGAAACTGAAATTTTTAGTGCAGTAACACCATTTGCTTGTTTTCAAGTGGTTAATGTTAAAGAAGAGGTGTTTTGTTTTTTTATATAACTGTTTGAAACTTGTTTTTTTTGGGAAACAAAAAACAGATCACTGCAAGCAAGAGCCAATCTGACACTTAAAACACTAAGAAATTAAAGTCTGTCTCAGATACTTAAAAGGATACAACTTCAACCTGATTGTCTAATATTAAAACCAGAAAGTTTTACTTTTGTCTAGTTATTTTTATTTTTTAAACACACTTTTCAAGTCACAAACTTTAAACATTGGGGTGTGCCCCTATAAAAATGAAAACAAGAAAGTTGGATTAGTTTGACCTTTTGGAAACCTTCTGTGCAGCAATTTAACCTCCCAAAGGACAGCCCCAGTTTGGATGCTCTAATGTGACGCTTTAATCTTCTGAAGGAAACGGAAGATGAAGGCTGGTGGGAGGGGGAGCTGAAAGGCCGCCGCGGCTTCTTTCCTGACAACTTTGTCATGGTTTTGCCACCAACGGACAGTCTGCAAGTGAGTAAATGACAACCAGGGAAAAAAGATACAGATGTGTTGCGCTTTTTTTCTTTTTTTTTTTTTTGTACGTCGACTGAAAACATCCTGCTGTTTCATCATGAAATCTTGGGCATGTTTGATCATAATATTTGTTTGAAAGTGGTGCATAATCACTGCTTCATTTTTTTTCTTTTTCTTTCTCCATTTTATTGTGTCTTAGCGGGTTTGCTGCCAGTTATGACTCAGGCTCATCTTCTATCTACTCACTGGAAATTTCCCACTGTGGAAAAAATGCAACCACTTTTGAGGAGTAAAAACTCACTCAGGTCCAGCTGTTTAATTTTCTTTTGTGTTTCTTCTACTGTAGTATGGAAGAACAAGTCAGCCACCTGCACGGGGGAACAGTATAAAAGGCCCAGGTAAGACAATTGCATGTTTTCACTTCTGTGCTGCACTTATTCTGGCATTGGGCTTATTCCTTTGGACTGGATGGACTGTTGTGAAAAGCAGATGTCAAAATTGGCATCAAGAGCCACAGGTTTGGAATAAGTCATGATTTAACTAGTTATTACTTTTCCTTTATTCTCATCTGTTATAAATGTGTAGATAAGATCTATTAACAATTTTTTTTTTAAACTGGGTCTTAATGCTGATCCTGATTTCTAATCTGAAACACTGTCCTGCTCTACTAAAAAAAACGATCGGTGTCTGAAAGGCACCATTTTTAACTTTACAAAAGTATTTGCAACTTTAAAGGTTTTCTGTTTTAGATTTCAAATAATCTGAAGCAAAAACCTCAATGAATTTTCTAATTTATGTGATAATCAGCAAAAAGTAGCAGAAAATGGAGTTTGGAGGAAAAAGATACAATACTTCAAGCTTTTTAAAATTTTCTGTCAAATTTTTGAAAAAGAAATTCTGGTTTAAAGGGCTTGGTGATATTTCAATATATTGACAGCTGTTCTGTGCCTCTGAGGCTGGTTAGAGGACATTAGGAAACAAAATCTGTATAAGACAGAATAACACATTGTTAAGCTTTTTTAATCATTGGAAAACTGGTAGACTAAAGTGTACAGAATGAAAGCACAACTGCAAACCTACCAACGCTTATCTACAGGTATTCTCACTTTAAGAAAAAGAATACTTTTACGAATAGTTATACTTTTCTATTTACTTTTACTTGAGCAATATTTTGAGTATTGCTGCTCTTGAGTAAAATGTCTGGTTAATCACCTTGGCTAGAGTAACTTGAGCTATTTGTGATTAGTTGAAAATACAGTAAACGGTAGATACTATATGGCTGCTTGAAGCTATTTATCCTTTCCTAACATTTATACATGACTGACTGTAAATTCCAAAAAAAATTGGTTCTTCTGCCCATATAGTTGTAATTTGTTATATTTTATAATTTTTGCACATTTGTCTAATTACGTGATTTTAAACAAATCAAATGCTATGAGCCAATAGTTTTTACCAAGTGCTTTTTTTATTTCAACTTTATTACGGTAAACAAAAATATTAAAGTAATGTTACACTCATTTGGGTAAAGTCTTTGGATGCTCTACCCTTTAAGTCAAGAGACATAACCTTAGTGGAGCAGTAGAGATACACAGTTCAGTGAGAGAATCTGCTCACTGAACATCTATTACTCATGCACTCCACAATTTTTCACTTTTGTAAAAAGGTAGCAATAAAAGTTATTTGAGAGAAAGTTAGGTGAGTTTACAACAAACACGTGGAGGACACCGCAAAACATCTTGAAGATGGTGCTCTAGTCAGATGACACCAAAGTAATTTACAGGCCTAACAGCAAATTGCAACATGATATTTAAAATAACCACAAAAAAACTTGCACTGCCTGTCACCATGACCATACAGTCTTGGTGGCGAAACACGGTCTTGGCAGCAGAATGGATGCTTTTCTTCAGCAGGGACAGGCGCTGCAAAAAACTTGGAGCTCCTTGGAGCTCCATGTTCCTACAGGACAGCCATAGACATACAGCCAGAACTACAATAAAATCGTTCAGACCATTGCATATTAGGGTGCTCAAAAGGCTAATTTAAAATCAAGACCTAATTAATAGGATTGGGCAAACATTTCAGTCTCCAGATCTGCAAAGCTGAGAGGGACCTGGTGAAGAAGACTTGTACTTGTTGCTTTTCTTGTCCGCAGTTTTAATATATTACATATCCAAATTACCCTTCTTTGAAAATAGATAGATAGATAGAGAGATATATATATATATATATATATATATATATATATATATATATATATATATAAAAAATAGTTATCTTTCCTTTTCACAATCATGCACTGAACTAACTAAAACTAAATTTCAATTTAAAGTCTGTGATTGCAAAGTAAAAAAGGGGGAAATGTTTTATGTATTAAAACAGTTTAAACCGGCATTGTTTAAATGCTTCTTGTTTAGTTAGATTAACAAAGAATTTAAAGCACAATTAAAAACTTTAAAATGAGCCAGAACAGGATATGGTTCATGATTCAGCTCATCATTGATGTATGTAGCAAAAGTGGTGCATTATCAAAAACAAATGCCTGAGTTTCCACGCTGTGAAATGTTTCCCTCGGTACCACATTCGCCTCAATTCAAACATTTGCCAGGAGCTGTTTAAGTTTTACCTAAACTAAAAAGTTCAGTCATGTTTGATGATGCAAAGTATCAAAGTTTTACAGGATGTCTTAGACTGTAGTAAGATTGGGGGATGGTTAAACTGGTCACATGACACAGTTCAGGAGTCTTGAGGAAACGAGGGGTGGAGGGGAGACTAGGGCTCTGTCTCAGATTGTCACAGACAGCTAGAAACCTCGTTAGATCCACTACTGCTCTGTTGATTTGAGAGGAAAATGTGGCACAATGCAATGAGCAGCCAAGGTAGGGCTTTTGTCTTCAGACGATGCATTATGCGCTTCTTATTTCAACCGTTTTATCTGAAATGAAGCCTAATTTGCTCAAGTTCTATGGTCTTTGACAATGTCAGATAAACGATATACTCAACCAGCCTGTGATGCATGAAATTGTCTTGCATCATCTTGAGTTCTTGAATGTTTGGAGAATTTGGCATCTCTTCAGAAACTTCAGTATCTTCCCAATTAATGAAACGGTGGTGGCACTTTTTTTTTTTTTTTTCAAACAGTGCAGTTAATACTCTATCACTGGGAGGTGGCTAAATTTGATGTGGCTCACCAACCAGGGTTCAGTTGCTTTGGGGGCGCAAACAAGTCAACATTTCCCAACATGTTTTTTGTGGGGTTTTTTTGTTTTTTTTCCCCCTTTTCTTACTATATGAAAAGTCGTGCCCCTTTCTGCACTTTGCACATTAAGATGCTGCCATACTTCATGGATGGCTAATAAAGCTGACAACTGCTATAAGATTCCTTCATTGACATGGTTAATTTTGGACTGTCTCATCTCCTTTTTTCAGTACAAAATGCCCAAACTTTCAAACTAGTATAGACTTGAACAATTCAACGTTAAATTGGTTTTGTATACAACTGGATATATGATTTAATAAACATTTATTCCATTTATGTAATCGCATAACAGACGAGTCATGTTTTATAGATTTTCAATCACTTAGAAAATCTTTGCGGCAAACACTTTCAGGTTTTATGGTCCTTTATTATACATTGATGTTTCTTGTTAAAAAAATTACAAGTGTTAAATTGGTGAGATCAAAGGCGGTATTTATAAACCTGACTGCACAATAAAAGATAGACGGAAACAAAACGGAAAAGGACTCTTCAAGTCAGAGGTTATATGTAGCATAAAACTCTTATTGAGATTGGTTGCAGTCAATTGAACTTGCAGTTGTACTGTAGTGATGTGGCAGAGAGTTTCCTGTGTTTTCTCTGGTTCACCAGAGCTGTCTTATAATACATTTTGGAGGAATAATTTAAATGGCAACTATATTCAAATAGAACTTTCACTGGTGCTAAAGGAGCTAACTGTTGCGTTTTAATAACAGAAGCACCATTTCAGTTTGTTTTTTTACATGCAGAATAGAAAATTAGTCATCCAAAAAATGACGCTGGTAGGTCTTAGTTAAAAAGGCTGCTTAAGTACTGAGAACTAGTACCATTTAATCTGATTTGATGTGGGAAAATTATATGATTGGGCTACACGGTGGTAAAAAGGGTTGCAATATTGCCTTGCAGCAAGAAGGTTCCAGGTTCGATTTCTGTCCTGGGGTCTTTCTGCGTTCAGTTTGCATGTTCTCCCCGTGCATGTTACCTGTACTCTGGCTTCCTCCCACATCCCAAAAATATGACAGTTAGGTTAATTGGCTTCTCTAAGTTGTCCTTAGATGTGAGTGTGTGCATGGTTGTGTGTCTTTGTTGCCCTGTGACAGACTGGCAACCTGTCGAGGCTTTACCCTGGCTCTCGCCCATAGACCGTCTGGCCCCCACGCATCCTTGACAATGACCAAGCTGGAAAAATGGAAGGATGGAAATTATATAACCATACAAAATTTAGAGTTGCATACTGATTCTTACGTTGCCCGAAAACTGATAAGAGGGGGGGGGGGAATGTGGACGTGTAGTAATTATTTCAAATGAAATGGTAATTTGTGGCCAGGAAAGAGAAAATGCAAGCCCCTCAGCTGTAATTAAAAAAAGGACCTGTATGCAGGGCTGCATCTCCCACAAAGTTTGGGTTAGATGTCAGCAAACCATTGCAATAAAGTGTTAAACACCTGAAATCTATTCCATTGGAGAAAATGAATCGCATTGCAAAATATAATCAAGCAGTATTTAAAAAGCAAAATGCATTTCCAAATCTCCCTCTTCTGTAATAGAACATCAGTAGGTGATGTAAACTTCATATCCATAGTGTAGGAATTCAGTTTTTGATGATGTAAAAACATGCAGAAATACGACATTACTTGCACAAAAGATCATATATGAAAAATAAATTGTTACAAAACAAAAGGTTCCTTAGTGACATTACAGTTAATTGCATCTTCCCTGAATTTTTAAATGGAGCAACAGGCACAACAGAAAATGTAGAACAATTGTAGCTTGTTTACAAACAAGTCACAAGAGAAGCAGATACGTGTTTGTGTGGTGAGATTGCAGATTATCTGGACAGCTGCAGGGCTGTGTTTTTTATGAAACTGAAATATCAGCTTTTATGAGGACCTTTAACACTGTAGACATTTACAACATTGAAACTGTTGACACACAGGAAGCATGGGGAAACGCCATTCAGCATTCTGACCTCTTTTAGCAAGTGTGGGTTTTGCTGAGCACCATGGCTCTGTTGCAGTGGTATCCTCCATATGTGCTGGTGAACTCGGGGCAGAAACAAACCTGGAAAATGTGCCACTGAGTCAAAGCTCCTTTAAAATAATTGGTGGCAAAAAATATTTCAGTTTTGAGCCTTAAATTGTATTGCTTTTTATTTTCTTATCTGGGTCCTTTTGTAAATGTTTTTTTTCTTTTGCAAAAAATAACCTGAAGGAACAACGATGGAGAAAAATGAGCAAGCAAAGACTAAAGGTACAACTGAAAGTAATTTTTACATAAACTTAACTTTAAAAGATGGAGAAATGTCAACATTAGATGACATTGTTTTGTTTTTACAGAAGAGAAACCAGAGCATAAAGACTTGAGAAGCAACCCTCCAACCAAAGTAAAGCTGCCAACCATTAAACCCACTCCACCTCCCGTCAAAGAAAAACCTAACAAGCTTGTACCAATGTGAGTAACACACAAGTTGTTGTCCTGCATCACTAATCTCACTGCAATGCCGCTAGAGACTGAGTAGGTATTTGTTTGCAGCCTTTACAGCAAAAAGGGGCCTTTTCAAAAACATCAGGAACGTGTTCTGCTCTTTGGTCTGGCACCAAAACCAATGGCTTTAAATCTTACTGCAGGTTTTTGGTGGCCACCACCAGTTGCCTTGGAGTCATTAAAGAAGAATATCAGGATGCATGACATTTAGTGGCTCAGTGGAAACTTAGATGAGTCAAATCAGACTTAAACAGATGAGAGCAGCTGACTTCCTGTTTCCTGAGCAAAATGCACAAAACAGGAGCACACGATGAACAAAGAAGAATACTAGTCCCTCCTTAAAGACGTTAGAAATGGAAAAGTCTTTGCAAAAATGTCAGTGGTAGTTTGCTTCCAGAAGCAAAAATAATTGTATAAGTCTGTACATTCTGGATGAACTATTGGTAAATATTGTAATAAAAAAAAACTGAAATGCTGATTTTTTTTTATGTGCAATTATTTCATGCATGTACTGAAACTGAAAGACATGCCTGGATAATCAGGTTATACAAGAATAACACAGTTGCACTTTAAGCTTAAGCTGTAACGCTTTGCACTTGTAGAAATGAGACAAAAGCAAAAATGCATTTCGAGTTTAGACAACATGAACATGAAATTGTTAAAAATATAAAAAATATTTTTATTGATCTGGATTGTATCGTTAAAAAAAAAAAAAAAAAAAAAAAAAAATCAGTGATCTTTTGCATTCAGTTCTACCAATGGGGATGCAGCTCCCACCTCACCAAAACCGCAGGCGAAAGAGGGTGACCAGTTTGATGGGATGGATGTGCAAACTGAAAAGCTGAGTCATCCCACAGCTAACAGGGCCAAGCCACCACAAAGGAGACCCCCAACAGCCCTGAGTACTACAGTTCATGTAAGTTCTATATTAGAGACTCAATTTGATTTTAACAGATTTCTGTTTGCTGTTACACAAGATTTTTTAGATGAGGCCTTAAATAACATTTCATATGGGTTGTGTTAACCACAGGGCCTACACATCATCGCATGAATATCAGTGCTTTTCCGTTGTCAGTGGTGACGCACTCTGAAAGGGTTATATTTAAACGCTATCCTCTAATACTAACGTAATAACAAAAACAGATTTTTCTACAAAACCTTTTTCTAAAAAAACTTGTTTAAACTAATTCCTATTTTCCTTGATATTGGGATTTTATTTTATTTTTTGCAGCATTGCATCCAGCCCCAAAATGAAAATGTTTCATAAAACTAGTTTTGCTGGAATGGCATTGTTTAAAAAACTTTAAATCTTGCTACAGATTCTCAATTTGAAAATTTGTTTGATTTAATTCTGGTCTTTGACAAGGATTTGCCATTTAAGTAATATGCTTTAATCTGAACCAGTTCTACTTCTTTGTTTTCTGTATCTCCTCCACTAAGACCAGAGTAGAGGACCCATGGATCTCCTATAGCAGGCTCCCTCCTTCGCTTTAGCTCTTTGCAGTTTCTCTAGAGTTACCTTTGGGCTTTTTCATTATCTTAAAACTATTTTTCACCAGCTTTCCATATTCTTAGGTATTATCTCTGCCTAGGACAGGGGTGGCCAAGTCCAGTCCTCAAAAGCTACTATCCTGCAACTATTTGATGCAACCTTTTTTAACACGCCTAAATCAATGAGTGGCTTGTTACCATGCATCTGCAGAGCTAAATGAGGGGATTGAGGCTTTAGATTCAGGTGTGCTAGAGAAGAGATGCATCTAAAAGTTAAAGGATGGTAGCTCTTGAGGACTGGACTTGAGCACCCCTGGCCTAGGAGGTTGTTTTTAAGAGAGTTTGTGTGTCTGTCTGTCTGCCAGTGTACAGGATGACTTGAAAGTTAGGAACAGATTTAAATAAAAAAAAAAAAATAATAAATAAATAAAATAATTGTGAGTAAACATAACTTTGTCGGTTTCAGAATTTTGGAAAATTCTGTTATAACAGGTTTAGCTTGTGTCCCAATTGGACACATTTTGCTAAGACTTCAAAGTATGAGGCTGAATTTGATTCTCCCTTACAGACCCAGAGTGCAACAGATGAAACGGATGCAGAGCCATCAGACAAACTGCCCAGCTTTCAGAAGGTCTGTAACATTCATTGATGCATTTTGTGCCTTTTAAACACTCTAATAAGCCTCTCCAAAAAAAAACTATGGACTTTGTTTCCAAGTTTGAAGATGTTTCTCTTTCCAGCCAAGGAACGTCTTCAAAGTTGGAATCAAATTCCAGTGGTTTGTTTTGTTTTTTATCTTTTTTGGAATGGCTATGATCTGGATGACTGAGAATCTTCACCAGCATACAATCAGTCTCAAATTAGGATTTTCTTGTTTTTCTCAGATGTACACATCTTTATGTATTCAGGATTATTAGTTTGCACAAACTTTGCTTTTCCTTGATACTAGACTTGAAGTAAAACACAATCTTGCACGTGTAATTGTTAACTTATGAAGGTGGGGCTTTACTGTTTCAAAGGTCACATTATATGCATAGTGTCGAAGTTGCTCAAGTGTTTGTCAAGCAGATAAAACATCCCGGTTATGAATCCTGAAACGTTTTTAAAATATCTCTTTAATTCTCACCTCCTGGTTACCTAATGAGTGTGAGACTAAAAACATTACCAGAAATTGCTTGGCAGAGCAAAACAGTCTTATTGCAATGAAGTTATACTACTTTACTGTCCTACCTCTCCAAATTTTAGAAGATCCGAATCTCTGTTTACATATCTAAAGTATTCTACATGCAATAATAAAAAAATAAATAAATGTTGCAATACAAAAACCTACCACTGTATAAAGCAACCGATTCATTAAGCGTACCATTGCCATTATGCCTTTATTCTCTGACATAAATTTGTGCGAAACACTAATCAACATTTATTACACAGTGGGTGTAAATGGATATCCATGAAGTTGCACAGTGGGTAGCACTGCTGCCTTGCAACAAGGTTTCAGGTTCGATTCCCGACCTGAGGTCTTTCTGTATGTAGTTTGCATGTTCTCACTGTGCATGCATGGATTCTCCTTAGGTTTATGTGTGTGCATGAATAATTGTCCTGTTTGTCTCAGTTGCCCTGTGATAGACTGAAATGTCAAGGGTTCACCCCACCAGCACCCCTCGCAAACCCAGTAGGGATAAGCGTAATAGAAAATGGATTGATTGACTCTGAAGCTCATTAAAATACAGAGAAGTCATTGTCATCAGAGATGATTTATGATGCTGACCAGGATTCTGCTTGAAGGAGTCAGTAAATGTTTCCATACTTCATAAAACAATAATTGGGAACCTCTATTTTAAACTAAGTTCAGGAGATGTTTTCTTCAAATCATTTCTGTAAATCAGAGATCAGCAGTTGCCACCAACCACCAGGCCATGTTTAAAGTCCCTTATATATACTTTCTTCCTTCATTGGTCCTCAGCACATCTACATCCCTAAATGCTTGTTATAGAACAGGGCTGGGCAATTCCAGTTCCTGGGGCCAGTAACTTGCAACTATTAGATCCACCCTTGTCGGTCCAACACACCTGAATTAAATGGCTGAGTTAACACCTCGGTATGCAGTCAGTTTCTCAAGAGTCCTCTTAATCACCTAATTATTTGATTGAGATGTGTTGAACCAAAGCCACATCGGAAAGTTACAGGAAACCAGCCCTCAGGAACTAGAATTGCCCACCCCTGGTATACAGCGTTTAACTGACAGGTTTACCTACTCACTGTTTAGTTAAAGGAGCAATTTGTCTAAATTTAAAACACAGTTTCTGTGTCTTCATGTTGGAATGTTCTTGTATCATTAAAGGTATCAGAAATTCTCCCAACACTTCCTGCAAAGCCTGAGGTTCCAGTTAAGATACCGATTCCAGTTCGACCAGCTTTCCCAAAAAATGTTGTCGGCAACAAAACCGCGAACCATAGAGATGAAGAGCCGATTATAGGGAGCCTGCAGGCAGAGATCAAGGAGCTGAGAATGGCATTGGAGCTGTTGCAGACCCGACATGAGTGAGTACATTTCATACTTAGTGCTGTTTTAAAAGCATTATTTGAGGTAAAGTGGTCATAGATGATTTGCAACCCATTTCATATGAATCTGGAATGTCTTCAGCAAAGGGCAATGTATTGCTGATGTATGATCGGCTAATTTAAACCTTCCCACTTCAGTAATCTATTTTTTCTTTTCTGTCCAATTCAAAAGACGAGACATGCAGGAAGTGAAAGAAGAACTGAAGGAGGAAAGAAATAGGCGACTAGCCTTGCAGGTCAGTAATCCATAGCTAGCATTTTTTGGTTGGTGTGCTTCTTGTCACCACAAGAAAAAGAAATCCAGACGTTGTGGTTCACAAGGTAACTGTTAGATGATGCATATTTTTTCTTTTCTCACAGGAGGAAGTGAGCAGTTTAAAAGCAAAGCATTAGACTCTGATGTTGACTATGCTGGACTTGGGGAATCCTGCTGGACAGCAAAATGTGTTTCTTTTTTTTTCTTTTTTTTTTAAGTTTACTGAGACCAAGTAAAGGAAGGGGTGAAAAATATAATTCAAACTGAAAATATACGCATGATGTCTACATTTGAAACTATTGTTAGGGATAAGGTATCCTCTCCTGCATTGGACCCAAGGGAAAGTATTTCCATAGAGACTTTGAAATGACATGCTGATAATTTGCATATTTTAATACTGCACGTAACAGCAGACGGTCCACTATGGGTGATGTTTGGAACAAATGTTTTTACAATCTTCTGTTTTGAATGTTGCATTATTATTTTTTTTTTAACTGTAGCCTACTTTTAATACCTCGATAAAGTTTGTAATATATGCAGCTGTATATAAAGTGAAATATTGTGAATGTTAATAAAATAAATGCTGGTGTCAAAAACATCAGTCAGAAAATCTAGTATTGCCATTGATTATTGGAAAAATGGATGTCTAAACCCTACTTTAAAAAAAAAAATTTTTATATTCATTAAAGTTTACTTAATTAAGCTTAGCCATTTGCCAAAACAGCATCACTACTACTATAAAATAGACATGTTGATATGAACTGAAGATTACAGTTGTTTGAGGAAGAAAATTAAATGTTTTTGTCAAAGTGCTTTAGTTTATTTTTTAAAGCACAAATGAAACCCAACAACACTCCTCATGGACGATCAGATTTAAGTAAAATAAACACAATGCTTAGTTTAGTTATGTGAAATATTCACTTTTGGGACCCTTTCAGGTCTGGTAGTTTAATACACTGCTTGGCCAAAATAAAATAAAAAAAAAATCCACCTGGATTTAACTACACAGGTCCTAGCCTCCTATAGGATAATTACTGCATGAGTGATTGTGTTTCAGCTGTCAACAAGTTGTCCAACAAGTTGTCTAACTCCAATTGCTTCTCATTCCGTGAACGGTGAATGACGCATCCTGTGGTCATGGAAAATGTCTGTTTCAGAAAGGTCAAATCACTGGCCTACATCAAAAGAAAACGTCTAAGGAGGTTGAAACTATCCAATTTGATTAAGAGATGAGGTTGCAAAACCAATAGTCTGGGATCTCCTACATAAAGTGACAGAAAAATATAAATTCTATCAATTTACTTTAGGCCGTATTACTTTAACTGGCAACCCAACCAATATAATTCAAAGTTATTTGACCATATTTATTCAGAGCCATTCAGATAGTTTTTGTGGGGGCATTTCATTTTTGGGTTTTCATAACCTTAGATTACAGAAAACTTAATGCAAAGCTCAGGGACAGCTCTTAAAGAAGTTTGACACATTACTAAATAAATGGTAATATTTAGTCATTTGTTAGAGATGAAATCTTTTTCAGAACTAAGGGCATTAATCTCAGAAACTGTTTTGCAGATTTATACGTTTTGTTTTACCTGTGAGGAATTATCTTCAGAGAGCACCTGTGTCCACTACTGCCTCCCCAAACAATGCAAGTTTCAGAGCAACAGGAGGTCGTTCTTTTTCTTTTTTATGCTGCCACAGCAGTAGGCCTCTTAAGTGTTGGTTCTAGAGATTTGTATGTTGAACTGTTTTCCTACGTGAACTCTTCCACACATGGCATCCAATACATCAATACTGCCAAACAAGAAGAAGCAATAATTGGCAACAAATGTTGACCACATAAGCTCAATAGAATTAGGATCACTGTAAGATTAGGATATTTTTGTATCGAGGGAACACAGGATGTACCTCTGGATGTACCTATCTCCATTGCTCTGACTCGCTGCAGGTGTCTCATCCATCTTGAGATTATCTTTTTTTTTTTCGACAAAGGCATGAGTTGGTAGGAGCAGAAAAACAAGTGCTTAAATTTATATTTGCGAACATGAATGTCCATCATGCAAATTATGTTTCTCCACACATGCTAACAAACTGGGGTTAAATTTCAGAAAGGACATGGAACTTCTGATGGAGACAGAACACCACTATTACCAAGAGTCTCATAGAGAACAGTTTATGTGGGGATTTTACATTGCAATATAACTTTTAACACAGTACCTAATCTAAAGCTATCTCTGTGTCATGTGGTAAGGTGTCTTTTTTCCAAGTCCTGCTTGAGCAAGTTCAGCCTCCAGGGTTTAGGGTATGGTGAGCCATAGGTCTTTGGGCTCTGTATCTTTCACTTTCCAATATAACTCTTGAGAACAATCCAGGGAAAGATGTGGGCGATTTGATACTTTTTAATTATGGTCATTAAAACTCAAAACATTTTTTTCCACACTGAGACACATCTAAATTGTGGAAAGAAGTTGTAAAAACTAAGCTACCTTAAATTCTGAAAAGATAAAAAATGAACTGAAAAAAATTTGTCCTCAAATATTAAAATATGCAAAAGTGAAAGATAAAAAAACCCATACATTTTCATCAAAAATACTTACAGAATTAAGTCAATATTTTATTCAAACTGCAACGCTTATTTTTATTTTGAATGGATAATTGTGTTTTTCAAATTTCATCCCTAAAATTAATTTTTCAATTTCAAGTTAAATTGTTTAACTTAATGGAGATTTTTTTTCCCCAAAAACTTTTGCACCAATGCCATAATACATTGGATTTGTCATGCACTTTATATTTATACAAACCCCAAAGTTCTACATAGCAAAGCAGATAATTGCTAAATAAAAACACACGGAGAGCATAAAAAAATCAAAAAGTAAAAAATAAATAAATACATTTTTTAGTTTCAAAAGCATTTGTTTTATTTTATGTTTTATTTTAAGTCTTCAAATACCGCCACCTACTGGCATGTTTCATACTTTTAAACTCCTGTTCTCGTGAGAGTTTAAACGAGAACTACATGTGCTCAGTTGTTTTCAGTAGGTTGGAAAAATCCTGTTTGTGATTAAGCAGCTGGTACAAGTGCTAATAGTATGATCTCCAGTCATACAGTTAAGAAACAAATTGCAGTCTCTTGCTATTAAAACCCTTCTTTTTGAATAAAGCTGTGATTGTATAAGAAGTTACGTCACTGCGGCATTAAATGTCAAAAAGCAATTCTGCAAAACTGCAATAATCCACAAGAGGACAGTGTTTGGCCAGTTATTGCAACATGCAACATTGTTATATTGTAGCAGGAACACTTTGTAGAGATCATATATTTAGTATAATGGGAAGAGGTGGAAATTAAGTTAAAGTGTGGATTTGATAATCCGATTTTCTTAAAGCATAAATGACATCTGGAGGTTGACAACATTGACCACTTAGAAAAGGCAGTTTATGCTACCAAAAAAAATAAAAGTGACTCACTTTGGAAAAGCTGTGAGTCATAACTTTGGAACCATCCTTGGGGAAATATTAATTTGACTTTTCTAAGTATCACAGCCATCCAAAAAGCATCTTGGTTGGACCAACAAAGTTTCACCACAAGTTTTAAAGATTTGGTTTTGGCTCCAAATGGAGAAGAAAACTGCATTACATTCCAATAAAGATGACTTTTTCTGCCTAAAGTTAAGCAGCATCTGAACAACACCTGGAGCTTATCAGATACAGACCACTGTAAAATGCCCAGAGGAACAGAGTGTTTTTAAAGCCCATGTTGAATGGAGAGTATTTGCAGCATATTCCAGCAACACCAGACCCAGTAGAAAATCAGTATAAACAAAGATCAGTTGGAAGTGCAGGGTTACCCTGTACTTTTTGGTGCCTTTCTTAATCATTTAAAAACCTCAGAAAAACTGCAACCTTTAATTTGAGCCTTTTTTGGTTAATTAAAGATCTTGAATTGTAAAAAAGAAAAGAAAAAAAAGTATTTCAAGTAATAATAAAAATAAAACAAAACAAATAGTGCCTCTTATATTTGTAATTTTTCTCAAGTATGGAGCATATCCAGTGGTTCAGCCTTTACTAATCCATTTTTCACAGTGTCTCTGGACTGTCTAAAATCTAACTTCAGTTCATGCTGTGTTTTATAGGGTTAAGGTCATAGACAGAGATGGCCATGGGAAAAAGTTGAGTGTTTGCATCCGCAGTTGGACTTATGTTTCGGTCATTAATCTAGTACATGTCCAGTGTTCAGCATTGCAACATGGGCCAGCATATGTTTAGAAAATGTGTCCTTTCCTATACCTTACCTAGGAAAGGCATTTTAAAGTGTGCATTATACAATACGCTCTTAACATATATCTTTCAGGCCCTCAGCACTATGCTCAGCACTAGGGATAATATGCATTTACACTTATAATTGCTTTTTTTTGCCACTGCTCAAGCTTTGTCTCCCCTGACTCAATGGTTTAGTGTCAATTAATCTCTCATAATTGCCTAAGTACAGTAAAGGCATTGTTCTCTGAATTCCCCTGCAAAATTTTGCTATTGTAATTAAAGATTAATTTAAATAAAGCAGCTGAACAGTGGTTTTGCTGATACTGTTAAAATAGTGTATCAAAGATGGGGAGTTTTATAAGTATCTACTTTCTAGTTATTTTATTTTTCTTGAATAGTGTCCTTCATGTAAAAAAAAAAAAAAAGGAGGGGGTTAGACTGCTTGTTCTAACCTTATTTCACCACTGTACCCCCTTTCTCATGATTTTGCTCTGGATTAAACATTCCCAGCAATAAGGAATGCTGCTGAGCCAACAGGGACACGAATAAATCAAAATAAACAGCTTGCACATATTTGGCTCCGTTTGAGCAAACATAGTAATGTAGATTCCAAAGGTTGACAGTTCAGCAGTGTGACGCTGGTGGAATTTAAAACAACTGCAACAGATTTATAAGGATGGATTAAACTAAGTGATGAAATTTTAAATGTTTCAGAGCATGTTTGCATTTTTAAGATGCATACATAAAGGCCCAAACAGAGATGATGACAACCTGAGGCAAACTTGAGCTCTGCCTGCTCCATAAGGATCCAGTTTATAGATTGTGGAAAACCAGCAGATGTTTCTTGTATATGCCCAATACACAAGAATTTATGCAATGTTTTCACGTAAGAACGAAACACGTTTCTGCCATCAACATTACAAAGAAACAGAATGTCGTCACATTGCACAACACTGATTCTTTAGTGAATGATTCTCTTTGTAAGGCTTTGTTTTTGGTCCAAAAGTTCATAATTCCATTTCCTGGAAGTCAACAAACCTTTGAAGATTAACACTGTGCAAACATTCCCTCAATGAGGGCACAATTCATCTGGGTTTTCCAAGTCTTGGCTGCTATGGTAGAATTCATCATTTCTACTCACATGGGGCAGACTTTGTCCATTTCAATGCTAATGGCCATTGAGCGCTGACTTCATGTTTCTCTGCTCCAACAAGCTTGAAACATCCAAGCTTTGAGGATGATAATAACCCACTCCTCCCAAAACCACATTACAGGGGCAGACACAGGCCATTATGTTGAAACAATGTGTGGGCTGTTCACAAGCTAGACAACGAAAGGAAAATGTAGACATCTTCTCTGCTTGCAACAGGACTGGCTTTGCCGTGCCCAAACTGAACCACTACATCTAATTAGAACATGCACTCAATAGCTCCTGATCAGCCTCACTGTTACTGTGAAGAAAGCATTTCTTAAAGTAGAATATGTCAAAAGTGTTCAAATCCCCACTGAGATGAGTCCATCTTTATAAGAAAGTACTTGGTCAGGCTTATTTGCATCCTTGTGAACAACTTGACACAGCTGTTAACAACTAACCCCACTCAGCCCACAACTTCCTTCTTATTTCACTTTTACAAATCACAAACATTAGAACCTCTAAATATAGGGCTTAGCTATATTCATACATAATCTAGTTTAGTTACTGCAGGAAAGATTAGAATAGGTTTTGAACATGAGCAAATTTATTCTGTTAGCTGTACTTTGACTATCGCTGTAATGAGACCAGCTATAAATCAAGTCTGGTGCTTCAGCTGACAGAAAATATTATTATGAATTCAAGTACTAGTTCCAAGATTAATATTATGAATGAAAATAAAATTTCCCTTACTTGCCTTTAGGGTTGAACAAAAGTTATGTTGATAATTCTTTAATAAAGGTATAGTGAAGATAGAATTCTACTTTGTCATTATACTGTCACAAGTACAAAGCAACAAACTTTACTCTCTGCGATTAACCCATCCCCTAGAGAAGCAGTGGGCTGCCATTGTGCGGCGCCTAGGGAGCAGTGTATTGTTAAGGGCCTTTGCTCAGGGACCCAGAGTGGCAGTCCGGCTTGAACTCAGAACCTCTGGGATCCAAGTGCAATGCTCTAACCACTAGGCCGTGACTCCACTAGTGGAAGATTTTCACAATTTTTTGAAAAGACTGCCCTCTCCACTTCAAGAAAAACAAACAAAAAAAGAACATTCACAACCCTGTACCCGCTCCCAAAAGGGAACGGCTATTAAACGCGTGGGAGAGCATGCATGAGCCAGTTTCTGCTCATGCATGCTCTGTTTAAAAGTTGCTGTTTGCATCGCTCATACAAGCTTACTTTGCAAAAGAAGATTGGCAATTTTTCCACTGTCAGACTCACCATCAAGTGAAAATTGGGACTTACTGTAGGATGCCTACATACAGTAAACAGATCACCAGAATGATTGACAATTAGGAGGATTACTTATTTTGATGATTCACCCAAAAAAAGAACATCCTCCACTATACCTTTAAGTATAAGAGATATGGTAAGGCTGATCCGATTTCTAATATTACAAGTATTCTTTCAGGTTTTCTTTCTTTAATTGATTCTAAACTTTTAGCCAGCAGATACATTTTAAAGGCTTGATTAAAAGAAACATTCAGTTTGACAGAAAAGTGAATCAGTCAAAGTGTTACAGAGGCCTTTATGAATCAAGTCAGACTTAATAGCCAAGAGGCATGAAGGTTTAACTTGATTATGTTTCAGAACTCTAAGAAGTACTATTCAGTATTTAACTCCAACCTCTGCTATCATTAAATAAAACTGACACTGTACTATATGATCACCAATATCTCAGATAGTCATTTTTTTTTTTTTGTTACTCATATGCATAGATTAAAAGAAACTGGCAGAAAATATTAACTAGGCGCAGTAATCAGTAGCAGGCGCCTCCATAAACTTAAGCAACAAGAGTTCAATTTTTTTATTGGCAGCTGCAGAGCATTAAATACGTGTTTGGCTAAATAGAAAACTGGGTGAGAAGCCAAATATTGTGGGAAAAAAACAGCAACTGATCAACACTTTTAATCAGACTATCAGCAAGAAAGTGTGCTTAAATATCTCAAATTTTCTTTTTTCTATCCTTGAATATCTAGAGTATATTGATGTAAGAAAATTATTAATGAGCTCAGAAGCATTTACACTTTGACCTTTTAACATAATACTAAATATTCTGGTCCCACTGACTGAAGTAATGCATTTTGTTGCCCAAGAAGCTTTTAAGCTGGTTTAACAGTGTAAGAGCAAATTGGAGGAAAATTCATTGATGTTTGTAAAAAGGTTACAAAAGCAATACTGATACCTTTTTGTTGTTAAAATTATCATTTAAGTCTACAAACACTCTAACGTTAGCATAGAATAAAGAAATGCAATTTGTAGTGAATGTTTTTGGGCTTCCTACAATCTGTAATTCCATACGTGTTGTTTTTTTGTTTGCACGTACCTACGTGAAAACAGAGGGGAAACAGATATAGCTGAAGTAGCACAGTTTTTTGACAGAGTTTACCATGTTGATGGTCTTTCTTTTTTTATTTTCTTTTATTAAACATCATAAGAATATTGTCTGGTTTTACTCGCGTTTCAATACTTGTTGATAGGCTGATTTCCAAACTGGTAGAGAAGAAACGAAAGGAGCTGGAATGCTGCTACAAACAGTTCGGGGGAATAATTTTAATAATTTTTACCTCTACTTTGGTGTTTTATCAAATGGCTGCACTGTAAGGCTGTGCTTAACATGTTCCTGTTCGCCTGAGATTTTGCCAAATCTCCATTGAGCCATCTAATCTTAAACAGAGGGATCATTGCAATCCAGGACCTACTCTGCTTCACCATAGAAATAATTACATATTTACATGGAAATACAGGACTTATGCAAATGTGATGGTGGCAAGGGTTGGCTGTCACCAAACTAATCCTAATTTATTTAGAATCAAGACACTTGGGCATTATACCATAATGCATAAGATTTTTACTCTTGCTGAATCTTAAACAAAACCCTGATTAAAAATCTGAACTGTCACTTGAGGCTGTAATAGAGTCATGCAAATCTCTCATTCTTGTGCTAAAGCTGAAAGTTTGCCTCACCAGTGAACCACCAGACACAACTGCCCCGACCTACAGTGGGTATTTTTCCTTTTCATGATGATTCTCGTGAGACATAGTTATGCATTATATTATAGCTTAGCAGATACTTACATACTGGGACCACTCCTGTTCGGCTGTGACACCGTCCTGAAGAGAAATATCAGCTGTAATTATACCTTTGTTTATAGATGTTGGAGCTTGGCCTGTTTTTCCAGTGTAGTCCTGTTTCTCTGACTGTGACCGACTGGATTCTTCATCCTCTGACATGGGAGCTGACCTCTCTCTCCTTGAACCCCAGTCGGCCTTGGCATATAGCTGCTCACACTGAGTTTGGTCGATGCAATTAGCTGTTTTTTTGTAGGTTTATTTATTTATTTATTCAAGGATCCCAATTAGTCTCTACGAGAATAGAGACTACTCTTCCTGGGGTCCATAGATGTAACACTTTGAACTAATCTGACTGTATTATCTGATTGATTTGTCTCTGTAAAGTGCTTTGAGTTGATATGCGTTTTGAATTGGTGCTATATAAATAAATTGAACTGAAATGAATAACAGATAGATAGATAGAAAGGAATCTCCCTTTGCCTTCATATAAAAAATATTGTTTTATTGCTGCTTTTGTACTGTATGTTAAATCATTTATTTAACATAGTCTGTGTTCTCCTAATTCATGCCAGTTATTCCATGGGAAGCATTTTTTAAACTACGTTTGACACAAAGTGAAATTTTAGAGGTTTTCTTGTGTATTCTCCCTTACATGAAGGTACGAAGCAAAAAAAAAATCAATGTTTTTTTTTCTTTCTTTTTGAATGATTTCAGTTTCTTTGGTTATTAGTATAATTTTCAGATATCTAATTCAACAGTCTGAGAGAGAACACCTTTTACATTTTTATTGCTTCATTGTTATGGTCAGAATTTGTGAACTGTCTATTTTGTTTTAAAATGGAGCACCAAATACAATGGAAAATAGGTGCCTGTACCTTTAAGCCTTTTTCTCAGCAAAAATTCTCACAATGGTCCCATTGAGATTGCAAAGAATTAACTTCAGACGTTTGCATCTGCCCAAGTGAACCTTATATAAAGTAATCAATGCCAATGAGCCCATAAAGGATGTGTAATGACATTTAATAAAACAGGGAATTAATATTGAACAGACAAAGATAAATGGGTGAGAAGCCAGAAGCAGACAGTTCAAATCCATCATTACATCTTTGCTTTATTGCAATACCACTTTATATATGACCGGATTAGTGTAGGATGATAATCAGCTTTCTCATTACCAAGGTATCTCATAGGAAACATGACATGATGGGTAAAGAAAGAGATCTATCAAGATCTTGTAATCTTATTGTTTTGAATTATACTGATATCATTAGTTAGATACATATTTAAACTATTGAATGTTCCAGAATGCACTCATTGGATCATTATCTTGAAGTGGAACAAAAATGATTGTCTCATAAAAAACCCATAACTATATCCAATGAATTTTCAGATGATCTCTCCAAGAGCCAGTGACCACCAACAAAGATTCAGAAACACCTAGAATCAGCAAATACAAACTACCCATTAACTAAAAGGGTATGTGCAGCCATCATGACATTCACACCAAACTCATTTGGCTAAATTCCCCTCCTGAAAAACAATATGTTGACACTCATTTAAAGCTTGCTGCAGAACATTGTGAGTCATTCAGAGAATATGTTCCAACTCGGAAGACTTAAACTGCACACTTTAGGTCTCATTCTAAAAACAACATGTTCGAAAAAATGTCATTTTACATGACCCAAAAACCATGTAAACCATTTTTTACCTTTAGGAAGAGTTGAAAACCATGTTCCAGCTGCAAAGGTTAGACATGGTTACTTCATTGTGATGGGCTTATGTTCAAAATACTTCATAAAACTGAAGGAAGTTAGAATAAAAATAGTAATGACATGTTACAAAGACTGCCATGATGGAATGAGAGTAAATTATGAAACAAGATAATTATTTTGATGTTAAAACACTCAGTAAGTTTTAAAGAAAGAACATACATTTGTTAGAATAACAGAAGTTAATAGAATGACTAAAGATCTGATCTGTGATGAAGATGAACCTTTGGAGTCAGCTCTTTTGTTTAATTTCGTGGCCTATATCATGCAAAATTTACTCTTTAAAACTTTTAAGTGTTATAATACTAACCCTTCATCAAAATAATGCACAAAGTGGTATTTAACTTGATAAATGCAAGTCTAAGAATTCCTCAGAAATATTGCCCTTATAGCACCAATCCCTTCCTGTTCTGGAAAAGCAAGAGGTCATCAGCATCTTACATAAAGCTTTAACTCGCCCCCTTAAAGAGGCACTTAACTTGACCTTGCTGTGCCTGCACAGTAAATAAATGGCCACTTTCTCAGAACAGTGAGAAATGATGTGAGGCAGAGTGAAATCACTTCTGCTCATAGTGGAAACTAAGGAGCTCTTTAGCAGCTAATCTGCACAGTGACAGCAACTGTTTTTTTTTTTTTTAGCTAATGTCTAAGTTGTTAAAATGTGTTTTTTGGCTGTGAGAGGTCTCAGACTTTTTCAGCTTCCCTAAAGGGGAGCCTAATCACCAAAATGGGCAAAACTCACACAGAAGAGGCTGCTGGAAGAACAGCTAATATAATTATTCAAATGAAAATCCCGTTTAAAGACATTTGTTGGTAAGTTTACATCAAAAAGCCAGCTAGGAATATATTAACTGAGAAAAAATGTGCAATGTTCAAAAGTTATATTCCCTGCTGTATATTTAAAATTTTATTTCTCCTTGAATCCTTCAGCTCTACCATTCATTCCACTCAAATTTCACGAGGCTGTTAAGACATCTCTTGGTTCAGGTACATGTAGACAGTTGACATTAACATATATAGCATGCTACAGAGGAAGTGCAATATCTCAAAGTTTGGCTCTCTCTAAGAAAAAAATTTGAAATTTGGCACCATAACATTTTTTTATGTTTCACAAGTCACTTTATATCTAACAGAAGCACTCAGATTAAAGGACACCAGGCCCCAAGGTTGCTCCTAGGCTTCTTTAAAGCTTTTTTGTATATTAGTAGTAGTGCACTCTTCCAATAGTCCCTGTTCCTGTCCCCAGGATATCAGGCTGGCCATTCCTCCAGATCTCCCGGATGATCCGTTCCCTCTCCTCAAGCCTCTGTGCACGTTCCAGCTCCTCAGCTGAAGTAAAAACGTTCACACTTAAAGTGCCGTCTGACTGGCTGGTATGATTGCCAACAGGAATTTCAGTGATGGGCAATGCAACAGATGCCTCTACATCCTCCCCATCATCCTCCTCATCGTCGTCACTTTCTTCATCTTCCATGCTGGTGTCTTTTAAGGGGTTCTTTTCAGGAGTGGGATGAGCGACGTTTGTCCTTGGCTTACATGATATGCGGATTACCAAAAGGCACAGGGTCAACACCAGACCAAAGCATACTCCGAGGACAAAGTACAGCCCAAAGCTTTCTGGATTGGCTACAGGGGAGACATAAACAAAAAATGGTTAACAAGATAAAGCATTTTACATATTGAATTTTTGTTCTTTTTTTCTGTACTATGATTTACCTTTAATATGTGCAAAAGCTGCAATGCTATTGCTAAGGAGATCCATTTCTTTTTTCTTGACATCCATGGTGATTTTCTTCACTTTGTAACACCTAAAGAACAAGAACCATATTCCTTACCATGTTTATTTTGAATCTGTGATCAAATCCAAATCCATATGGATTCCTCAAGGTGGTGGAAACATTCCCCATTTACCCTCCCCCACATTCTGTGAAATGTCCAAATGCATACGCACTGATGTTTTAGGTGTGCGGTAGTGAAGCTTTAAGATCCTCAACAAAAGCTTCTCTGTGGCTTCATGTGGGATCATTATAATGTACATGACAAAAGACCTTTTGACGCTTTACAATACATTTCAAAAGTATTCATACAGCCTGTAGTTGAACAACTTTTTTCCTCCCTGAAATTGTATGTAATAGATCAGCTCAAATAACTTTGAAGTGGATTATTGGAAGTTCAGATTAGTTTGTGCTGGTCTGTATCATTTGAATGCATTGGTCTATATCATATAATCCCAATAAAATGCAGTGGGATTTTGGTTTGTAAAGTAAAATGTAGAAAAGTCCAACAGGTATTTAAGACACTGTGAATAAGATAAAGTTTATCCGTTCAAGTAGTCACAACCAATCTGATCAGACTTCAAAATACATCAAAAATAAAATTTTAAGGGTTGTTATGAGGTTGTGTCCTTGACATTTATTTTCATGAGTCTTGACACTAATTTCCAACAATTCCTGCTGTGGTCCTCAGCGTGCTTTGAATATAACAATTGTTGGACTTGGCTTTGCAATATTCAGCATTAATATTTGGTAGAAATGCCTTTATTTTTTTTGAAGCTGGGTCTCTCTACACTGTATTACTTCCTGATGGATTTTTCTTACATAGTTTAAAAATGTATCAATATTTTTTTAACTTAATTGCTCCTTAATTTTGCTGCCTGAGCATTACTAGAAGACAACCAAACTCCAAAATGTTGTCCTTAAAACTAATGCTCACAACATTTTTTCAACGGAAATATTAAAATAAAACAGTGAAAATATCTGAAACCCCCTCATTTAACCTGTGTTTCTGTCCTCAAAGCTCAATGTTCTCAGACCAAATGTTATACTTAGAAGCAAAACTAATTGACTGTTATGTTTAGCTAAAACTGAGTTACAGCTAAAGTTAGATGAGTTCTTTGAACATAGATATCCTTGAATTCAACTGAATTATGGTAGAAAACTGTGAAATAAAAGAAAAAACTTGAGGTTACTTCTTAAAGGTCCGGGCGGATTATCTAAAGAAGTGGTCCCCCTAATTGTCAGTCATTCTGGTGATATGTTGACGTAAGGCCGTCCTACGTGCTTGTCCTGTTAGCCATCTTTTTTGCACATTCGCACTTTTCAGACCGGTCATTTTCAATAGAGACACTGCCTGCTTTATAATTCTTGTAGAAATAAACCCAACTGTAGGATAAACAGCTAAACTGGTGTCTTACATCTATGTCTACTTATGTTCTTGTGCCGTGAACCAGTGGGCTGGTCTGTATGTCAATTTCGGGGCGTGACAAAAGTACAGGCTAGAACCAAATAAGGCAAAATTCCAGACTTTACGTCAACTCTGTGCTTCGTTTGAATTCGCCCATTTTATGGTGTAAGTTTAGAATTGTGAGATTTGCAGAGAAAGGAGGTGTTGATGGGGTTTGAACTTCTCTGTACGTTCATATTACCCATTGAACTATAGTTATTCATTTATGACATATTAACTTGGATTTCCATTCTTTGAGTCCTTTAAAACTGCAGCAGACATATTGGATTTTAGGGTTTGAATTTTCGAATACCTTTGAGATTTCCATTTTAACTTTCTGTGTATTAATAACCGGAAATAATTATTCATATTTGAGAATGAAATACAGCATTAAACCATATATTTTAACCAAAAATGAAGGCTTGTGTTTCTTTTCTCTTACATTTTGTTTTGCCATTAGTACTTGATAACATTTTACTAATGTGGTGCTTGTTATAAAGAGTTGCAGAAACATTGCCTTAAGCAAAACCAAATGTCTACAATAAATGCACACTTTTTACACTTTGTCTTCAGATTACACAGATCAAATGTTCGTGTTTATTTTTGACTCTTAATTTAAAACTCTGAGATCTGCTTGATCTCTACCATCATTAGCTCTCTCCCTACGAATTATAACACACTCAGCCTTATTCGTTTGATTCCTTTTGAATTAGAGAGGAATTTAAACACAAAACCACATTTGTAAACCATATGTAATTCAGGAAACAAATGAACTACAAGCTACGGAAAAAATTCATCTGCAAAAGCCAACCTATTCTCACATTAAAGTTCAAGTTAGAAATACAACTCACCACAAAACGAAATCCTAAAGGAATTCTTCAGTCCCGACTCATAATGTAAAGAAAGTCTGCAGTGTTCTCTATCCGCTGGCCGCTCAGTTGCTGTTGGATCAAGGCCTATGATCTTTGGTCTTCAGGCTAAACAGTTCATTTGGCCACCCTGAGACGAGAACAAACACAGACACACATACACACAGACGTCAAGCTACATTAGCAACAAACTCAGTGAGGCATCTGCAATGCAAACAGGGATAGGCCCGTTGCAGAGCTGGCTGCCCAGAACAAGACTAGAGGGAAATTTGGCAGTTCCTATGTACAGTAAGAGCTGCTTCAATAAAATATAATCTGAACAAAGGCTTTAAAGTCAAGTAAAATACCAAAGTTTCATACAGCAGCATGAAATGTTCAAGTGTTTAGTTTAAAGTTTGTAAAGTTGTCCTACTGGAATTGAAGGTGGCCATGATTCGATAGAAAGAGCTGCAGTCTTTCACAACTGGAATATGCCAGTTTCTATTTTAGATTGTCCTCAGGCAAGACAATGAAGCCAGAAGAGATTAATTTGGTTAAATTCATATACTGAATCCTATCTTCAGTAATTCCAGTTATTCTTTAAAATCATTGATATCACTACTTGGACATTGTTTAGTCTGTAATTCAAAGTGTTCCTGCGTTAGAGTTTTACCTCTTAATTACTAGTCAGTCAGATCTTACAAAGTGGGTGGTTTCTAAAACATCCAATTTTTACATACATGGGGGTTTTACAATAAGCTCTAGGGTAAAAGAAACACAAAGCTTTCAATTCAGAATACCTTTGCAGCTATGCAATATTTTCATAGCTGAACATATGCAATAGAGAACATTTAAAGAATGATCAAATGATCTAACTACCTTAATCTGGATTTCGCCAAATAATCAAAGTGTAATTCTGTGACATTTTACCATCATAAGAAATATGCAAAGATTTTGAGAAAGGAAAACCTCTTTTTGCATTTTATTTATTTATTTTTTTTGCACACGTTAACTGACACTGCACTTAACTAATTACAAGCCATGTAAAAAAAAAAGCATTAAATACTCACAATAGGTTAAAATGCATAAAAAGGCTTGTAATGAAGCAGCAACATTAGCATGCGGCTGGTTGGATGAGTTTAGCCAGAAGTATCATACGAAACAAACTATATTTATACATCTCAAAACATCTCAGGTGAGTGAGCTGAGTGCTACACAATAACTTTATATTTGTGTACTATTTGATGCTTTTATAATGTAGTGTTATATTTTTGTAAATAGATGGAATTTATTTTGATAAAGTAATTCACACATGGTATTTGCAAATGCTTTTTCTGTAGTTTCTTGGATCAGTATAGAGAAATTATTCCTAACGAGAACATTAACAGCAAAAACATTAAAACCTTGCTGGATATTAAGAATTAACATGCCAGGTGGAGATGGCAGTGAAATGTGCAGAGCTTTGTTTTTTCTAACCTATATTCCTGTGTAGGAAACAGTCCTGCTCTGCCAGCAGCTGTTGGTTTAAGAGAGCCCTCTTGCTTTTTCTGAGCTGATTTTAATCATGCTGACTCTCCGCAATGTCTCGGTGAGACAGCATTTAGGGAGTGGGAGGGTTATAGACAGAGGAGCCATTATGCCAACATTTCCAGGCCTCCCCCTCGGCCCTGATGGAGGGAACAAGTTGACCGCTTGTTTCTGCCACGAAAACAGTTTGAATATACCTTGAAAAAGTATTTTAGGCACTTTTGTTTTATATTACTTTAAAAAAAAGATAATTTTCTTCCTCCTATAAGGTCATATGTAATCGATTCACCATTATTAAAAACAAAGACTCTGAATTATGATTTTAATTTTTTCATCGAGTAAATAAACTGAATATCTAATCACCTCTAGTCAAAGTAAGGAGCAATTTGGACACCTTTAGTACACCTTCTAGTCTCTGCTCAAACGATGATTCAACTAAACAAAGCTTGACCACCCAATGATCTACTGTCCTGCTTTTAGCCCATTGAGGCCTTTATGATCCAGCTCTGTTTATAAGCTGTCTTTGATTTGTCCAATTTATTATTATCAGAACTTCTCCTTCAAAGCTGCATTGCAAGTATTTCATTACTAAGCTTTTAGACATGTTTTTTCCAAGTATTTATTTTGCCATAGCCATACCCAGTTGAAATTTGAATAAACTTGACTCGTAATAATTACTTTGTTTTATTATGTTTTTCCTGAATTTTTCGTTCTGATAAACTACTCTGTGTAACCAAAAATAGTGCTCTGTTTATTTTAGGTTACTTTCCGGACTATACAGGTGCTGGTCATAAAATTAGAATATCATGAAAAAGTAGATTGATTTCAGTAATTCCATTTAAAAAGTGAAACTTGTATATTATATTCATACATTACATACAAACTCATATATTTCAGATGTTTATTTTGTTTAATTTTGATGATTACAAATGACAACAAATGAAAATCTCAAATTCATCATATCAGAAAATTAGAATATTACTGAAGACCAATAAAAACAAAGGATTTATAGAAATGTTGGCCAACTGAAAAGTATGAACATGAAAAGTATGAGCATGTACAGCACTCAGTATTTAGTTGGGCCTCCTTTGGCCTGTATTACTGCAGCAATGCGGCGTGGCATGGAGTCGATCAGTCTGTGGCACTGCTCAGGTGTTATGATAGCCCAGGTTGCTCTAATAGTGGCTTTTAGCTCTTCTGAATTGTTGGGTCTGGTGTATTGCATCTTCTTCTTCACAATACCCCATAGATTTTCTATGGGGTTAAGGTCAGGAGAGTTTGCTGGCCAATTAAGAACAGGGATACCATGGTCCTTCAACCAGGTACTGGTAGCTTTGGCACTGTGTGCAGGTGCCAAGTCCTGTTGGAAAATGAAATCTGCATCTCCAAAAAGTTGGTCAGCTGCAGGAAGCATGAAGTGCTCTAAAACTTCCTGGTATGTGGCTGCGTTGACCCTGGACCTCAGAAAACACAATGGACCAACACCAGCAGATGACATGGCACCCCAAACCATCACTGACTGTGGAAACTTTACACTGGACTTCAAGCAACGTGGATGAAGTGCCTCTCTTCTTTTCCTCCAGACTCTGGGACCTTGATTTCCAAAGGAAATGCAAAATTTACTTTCATCAGAGAACATGACTTTGGACCACTCACCAGCAGTCCAGTCCTGTTTCTCTTTAGCCCAGGCAAGACGCTTCTGACGCTGTCTGTGGTTCAAGAGTGGCTTGACACAAGGAATGCGACAGCAGAAACCCATGTCTTTCATACGTCTGTGTGTGGTGGTTCTTGAAGCACTCACTCCAGCTGCAGTCCACTCTTTGTGAATCTCCCCCACATTTTTGAATGGGTTTTGTTTCACAATCCTCTCCAGGGTGCGGTTATCTCTCTTGCTTGTACACTTTTTTCGACCACATCTTTTCCTTCCCTTCGCCTCTCTATTAATGTGCTTGGACACTGAGCTCTGTGAACAGCCAGCCTCTTTAGCGATGACCTTTTGTGTCTTGCCCTCCTTGTGCAAGGTGTCGATGGTCGTCTTTTGGACAACTGTCAAGTCAGCAGTCTTCCCCATGATTGTGTAGCCTATAGAACTAGACTGAAAGACCATTTAAAGGCTTTTGCAGGTGGTTTGAGTTAATTAGCTGATTAGAGTGTGGCACCAGGGGCCATCAATTTTGAACCTTTTCACAATATTCTAATTTTCTGATATGATGAATTTGAGATTTTCATTTGTTGTCATTTGTAATCATCAAAATTAAACCAAATAAACATCTGAAATATATGAGTTTGTATGTAATGTATGAATATAATATACAAGTTTCACTTTTTAAATGGAATTACTGAAATCAATCTACTTTTTCATGATATTCTAATTTTATGACCAGCACCTGTAGAGTTCACCTAACTATAAGGTGCACCCACTAAGTAAAAAAAAAAAAAGAACCTGCAAAAGTACATATACACCAGGCTATAAGCCTCAGGTATCTACTGAATGTTCCCCACCAAATCTATAGGGGGAGCTCTACATAATAACGCTAGAGTAGGGAAGAATGCTAGCTCCAGTTATCTTGTTGGCTCAAGGCAGTAAGAGCTTGTAATAAAAGATGTTGTTTCGTAAGCTCTTTATTTCAGTTCTGCATTAGCTGCGCACAGTCTCTTCATTGGTTCGACAGCTTTATTGGGGCAAAAAAAGTCAAAAGGTGTAGGTGTATAGTCCGGAAAACATGGTACTGTCACAAAATATTTGTTTAAATAAAATACATAAATGTATTATTAATTATTGTTATCAATAATATGAATATATTTTACAATAAAATGTAACATTTGAATAAAGAAAACTTAGATGGGTAAATGATGACCTTGGATTGTTTTCAAATTTAACAACTTTTAGTACATTTTGGTTTTAAATATAGATAAAATTAAATATAGATACGAAGGGTGAGATTTTCCATTTACTTGGCAGAACGTGCAGCAGCACATGCTTTCATTATCGTCTGCTTTCCTGATCTCACATCCTCAGTTCATGAGGGAAGTTTCCTCTTCCTGATTTTTATGGAAACTACATACTACTTAGAAATCTCTTAATATATTCAGAAAAAAATAACTGTAAATGCTATTGTTAAAGTTTAGAGTTGAAAACAAAATAAAACTTTAACAGCAAATTTCAGATTTCTGTTTGCCAAATGTTACTAAGTCTATAGTGAGTTGTTCAGAGTATCTAATCAGAACATGTTATGTTGTTGTAAATCATGAACATGTCAAAGTCTATTTCTGGCAGATACTGTTTACTTTGGTTTGGATGGAGGAATAAAATGGAAGACAAGCTCCAAATATAGCACAATATTTTTTCCTGTCATCCACTTGAAGATAATCACAGTTGTTATTCCGTTTGCCAAGGTCCTTCGCGATTTCCAGGGACAACATCTGTGTCAAAGGTTTCCTACAACGTTGGAGCTATTGTTTAAAACTGGGAGGAGTCACTGTCCAGGCTTTCTACTGTATACAGCTGTCAGATGAGATGACACGGTCAGCATTTCAGCCTAAATTATATATTTATTTTCATCAATTTTTTCAATAACTATACAGCGTTTTAATGAAAATTCACCCTAAAGTTGTGTTCAGAGCAAAGAATAAGATGAATTATCAAGTCATAAA